AAAGATATTTCAAATTCTCAAGCATTATGTGACTAGCTTCAGATAAATAGTAATAAGTATGGTATAATGCAAGCTTGTCCATCCGTCTCATCTTATCCAACTTATGTTTTTCACAGTATGACCAAGATTATCATCCCGGTAGGAGGAAAAGAGGGAAGGACTATAAAGAAGGCATGGTAAGATTTGTGAATTACCTATGTAGTTCTGAAGTTTGATAAAGTTTACTTAAACCCGGAGGATATTGACTGTTTTGTATATATTGTCTTTTGCAGTACGAGCTTCCGTTTTATTATCCAGGACAAGTAAGTTCCCCGTCGCATTCCTTCAATTCAATTATCGACCGACATTCAATTATCCAAAACCATATGCTTTTGTTAGTAAATAAATCCCAAGTATAAGTTGAAGAAATTTGTTCTCGTCGTGCTATCATCAATTTTAGAAAGAAAAACGAAGTGATCTTTCTGTAGTTAAATGTCTATGAAACGAGAGGATGACATTAGGGCTCTCTTTATGCAGATTTGTGAAGGGAAAGTAACTACTTTACATCTTTATCAAGGAGCTTTTGTTGATATAGGAGGTGTATACGATGGGTAACTCCAGTTTCTTGTTGTGATTTTCTTTGATGTCTAATGATGCTTTAATTCCTATTAATTAAAAGCCTGAAAGACAAGCAGTCTCACCTTTGTTATCTCATTGAAAAATTTCTCATCTGTCACAGAAAGTGTATTCCTTGTTTTCCAATGTTTACTCACTTTTCTTTAGGTATTTTTATCCATATCTTTTGCTCACGTGCTACATTTTATTTTTGCTCTCATCCCTTCCTCGACATAATTTAAATTTATGATTATTGGCCGAATATTGTCTCTGTTTATGGAAAAAAAAACTCCTTTCCTTGGTCCTCTAGCATTCTCTTGGGCACATCCAGCTTGAATAAATGGATTTTTGTATTTTGTCTTGAATTTGTAAATCTTTTCCTTCTAGACTCATGCCTTATATTAATTTCAGGTGGGTTCCCATAAAAGGTAACGATTGGTATTGGATTCGCCATCACATAAAAGTCGGTATGCCTGTGATTGTAGAGATTCTGGTAAGTGTTCTCTTAGTAGCATTTTGTAAATTTTATCTTCCATTCTCTTATATTCATTATTAAAAACTTCACCATGAAGGGAAGCAGATTTATATGGATCCGATGTAAAGGTCACAACAAAACTCCTATTTTATCTTACTTATAGAGTAATAACTTTTGTAATTTTTGCAACTTCACATGCCCCAAGGTCTGAACTTGCACTAAATGCAACAAGCTCTAATGAAGTTTATTGATTGTTACTTGACCTTTTGTTCGGAAAAAATACCTTGCTGATTGGTTTAACCTTACATATTTGTGTGTGACTAATTTTCTGGTCATTGCTGTTTCTTTTATAGGCAAAGCGAGATCCGTACCGGTTTCGATTTCCTATTGAAATGCGTTTTGTTCATCCTAATATAGATCACCTAATGTATGTAATTCTGACACCAAACTATTCTCAATTATGATGAGGACATCTTTATATGATATTGGTCATTCCTTTACACCTGATATTTGATAACTTCCCTTAATATGTTAACATTGCTAGCTCTAATATAATTTACTTATGCAAACATTTGATTATGTTGATAATCTACTGTGTTTCATTGTGTCCTCATCTCCAGCTTTAATAGATTTGACTATCCACCTATATTCCACCGTGATGAAGATAGTAATCCAGATGAAGTACGGGTGCGTGCCTTCCAATCCTGAAAATGTTGGGTTCTTTGTAATTTACCCTGCAATTACGTTGTATATAGTGGAGCAGATAGCTCTCGAGTATTGTTTTGATTTTGACTTCTGTCAGATAGAGAGAGCCACGACGTGAAAATGTTTGGTGTTATATAATGTAATCTGAGCGTGAATGTTTTATGTTATACATTATTGTTCAAGCATGGAGAAGTCTTTTTTTTTTTTGTGAGAACACAAGGAGAAGTCTTATTTGTACAAGACTTCTGAAAGATAATGTGAATTGAAGAAGATTATCTTTTTCTTGACTTTGACTCGTCCACTGTGCTAATCTAATTATTGTGATGTTATAATCACAGAGACAGATCCCCTTGCCCTTAGGTTGTCCATCCTTTGTTTTTATACAATCTGTTTCTTATCAAAAAATAAATAAATAATCTTAGAAACAGAGAGAGCAACTTATCTAAATCTTTTATGCTATATAATGTTGTCCAAGCATGGAGAAGTCTTTTGTTCAGGAGTCTCACAAGCAGATCCAATATGAATCCTAGAAGAAGATTGACCTTTTTCTTTGTTATCCACTGTTCTGATCTTTGTGATGCTCTCTCTTTAGCGTGATTGCGGGAGACCTCCTATTCCTAGAAAAGATCCAGGAATTAAACCAGAAGATGAAGCCTTATTGTCAAATCATCCATATGTTGATAAGGTAACTCTTACTGGACAACTCTTACGGTAAAGTCGTGCCTTTTTCTTGCTGAGTTTAAACAGCAAGAGAATGGCAACTTTGTTTAACTGTATGTAATCTCGTCTATATATTCCACTTAGAAAAGTGAAAAAATTATAAGAATTTGTTGGTGAAATAAATCTAATTGTGTGAATAATTCTTCATCTTGTTAAATTATTTAATTGGGGTCCCTTCTTTTTTTCCATCATCAGTTCACTTTCTTAATTCTTCCAAAGAGCTTGTGAGCTCATTGATAATTTTCCTCCCAAATCCCAACTAATAACATCTTGTATTTTCTTTTTCTTTAAATCTCTAATTGTTTTATTATCCTTATTCCACAATTCAGCTGTGGCAGATACATGTCGCGGAACAAATGATTATAGATGATGTGGAAATGAATCCTGATAAGTATAAAGACAAAAAACTTTCAGAGTTATCTGATGAAGAAGATTTTGATGAGGAAAACAGTGTTGAGTATACCAAAGTACGTTATAAGAACAGCTTGTTACCAAAGATGATTATGGTGAGCACTCTCTTTCAACTGCATTGACATAAGCCTCACTTACAACTGATGTTCCTTATTTCCTGACCCAATGCTTCTCATTTTCTATTGTCAGAAAACAAGTGTCAAAGAACTTGATTTGGAGGCAGCTTTTTCTGAGCGTCAAGTAAGTCGTCTTGTTGAATTATATAAGAACCATGTTAAGCTTCTTGCATTTCCACTATTACTTGATCTTACACCTTTCTATACATGAAATGTCATGACTAATCTCAATCCACTCTTCGGATGTAGGTTCACAATAGACTCAGACAAGAAGCACTGGCTAGAGGAGAGAAGTACAAAATTTCTAAACTGAAACGGAATATCGAAATGGATGAATATGACCTCATGCATTGGCGTCGATCTTTCGAGGAAAGAGAAGCCTTGATCAGAGATATCAGTTGGTATTTATTTTATTTGTATCGCATTCTGTTTCCTGTTATGAACTTTTTCGTTCAGGCTACCTTTGAGTTGTTATTGTCCCAACAAGACTGATTCTATTATGTCCAATTCTCATCCGTACTAAGGCAGCATAACTCTCCATGCAGTCAGACATTATGCAATGCCATCTTCATAGAGTAAATGTTAGACATTTTCTAGGATAATTCTGTCAATCAAGATAATTATACAGCTTGTTATATCAGTCGTGGTATCTTTCCTCATTATTCTTGCATTAGGCCCCTGACCCAGCCACCATGTTCCTTTGAGACTGTTTTTAGTTGCTTATCATTTACCGAAGTTTTAATCTCATGACACTCGCAACCGCTCAGACATGCGAGTAAAAACTCATTAGCACATAACATGCCGCATTAAATTGCTTATTAAAGACATCTCTCACTTTCTTGCAGCCGACAAGCTCTTGGTCTCCCACTGGAAGAGCCTGGAAGATATGTAGACGCCAGTTACTTTGGGAAGGATCAATATGACCCAACAAACCCTCTCTATCGATATGACTACTGGGGTGAGCCCAAGAATTCAGAGAAGAGCAAACAAGAACGGATGACAGATGCCCACAACAAATCTATAGTAGGCAAAGGCGCTGTTTGGTATGAAATGTCATATGAAGATGCGATCAAGGAGAGAATGGAAAGAGAGGCCCGTTCGAAGGCTGCAAAAGAACGAGATAATGCAGACCAAGATGAAGATGAGAAAGAGGAGGAGGAGGAGGACGACGACGACGACGACTTTGATTTTAGTATTTTACGTGACTCAGTGGATGATTTTTCAGACCAACCTCACGTGAATGGGACCGAATCATCTAGAATGTCTGATGAAGGTATGTTTGAGGATTGATGTTGAGTGATGGGAGGGCATGATTTTGATTGAACAGAAGGATAGTTGATAAGAGTTGTAAAAGAATCGCAAAATGTCCTCTTCAGTTCTATAAAATGAAAATAAAATACATCTCTGATCCTCAGCTCTTACAGCTTTTGGTCGCCCATTCTTAGTACCACCAATATACGCCTTGTGTACATTTAGAAATAACATTACACACCTAACTTTGAAAACTATAACTAAAAATTTTATTAAGAAGTTTGTGATCAAACCAAATGAATGTAGCAACATTTCTACAATCCGACTAAAGCACAACACAACTGAGCAGGCATCTAATTGTAATGAAATTTCTGGTCTCAACGATGAGGGCACCACACTCATGTATTGAGAGCCATTTGGTTGCGAGAATGGAATCAAAGTTTGAACAGCAAGTACCAGTGAGACGAATTGGCTTCATTTAGTATAGTAATTAGGTGAAACGTTAATCATTAACAAGAACGATCCATCTGATTGATGATATATGTACGAGTTAGGGGCACTTTGGCATTATATAAATGAATTTTTTTTACAGGCAAAACTGAATATTCTAGCCACAGTATGTTTTTCTTTTTTTGTTTTTTTTTTTCTTTTTTCCATTGAGATCCCCTCCTGTTCATACATGGCACTTCCTCCAACCCTCGTCCTAACCCAAAAAATCAAATCAATGCAGCAACACCAAACACACATCCGATTAATAATCCCAACTGCGCTCTTCATTTTCCTGCCTTGCAGTCAAGGAAAAATCATGGAGCACACAGGCCAAGACAGGATCTTTAAAGATATCACACGGTTGCCTGCGGTCGTGTGGACTCAGTGTTCAGACAATCTATAAAGAGAATGAACGAACAAACTCCCCACTTTAATCGATTTCCCCTTCTTCGACATCATTTGACAGTGGCTTATTAACACTTTGGGGTGGTTCACGTTCGGTTTCATCCTCTTCATCTTCTTCGTCTGCCTTCATGTACAAGCCAAGTTGTTCCAAGGGGTTACTGCCTTGAAGCTTGAAACTGCCGAATCCATTCTGAGAGTGTTCCGGGCTCGACTCCTCTATGAAGTTCGGCAAATGCTCGTCATTGGAAGCCCTGAGCATTTCCAGATCCTCCATGATCTGACTGTTCTCGTTAATATCAACAGTCTTCTCCATCTGCGTGATGGGGTAAGGAAAGAACTTGAGAAAACTTAACAAGAGTATTTCTGATGGCTAGCACAAGTTTAACGATATTATATCCACCATACCTTAAGCAAGGCCTGACGTGCAGCTTCTCTCTCCAACTCCCTTTTCTTCTTGGCTTCAGCGGCAGCTTCAGCTTCAGCCTTCCTGCGAGCATCCTCTGCAGCTTTGGCCTCTGCTTGCAATCGGGCTTTTTCTGTATGCCAAAACATGAATTATCAACTTCTGAAGTGGTTTTGATCACCTCTAATCTCTCTAGTGTTATTATGTCCTGTCGTCAAATTCAAAAGTAAAGATTTCAAACCTTCTCTTTGCTGTCTTTCAAGTTCCTCCCTCTCCATTCGCAATTTTTCAGGATCCCGCTTGTCACCCTGTACCGATGTCACGTAAGTGACCTTATAAACAGAATATCTTGAACAAGGTTATACGTTTGTGTAATAGAGGTCCACCTAATACTTGACCAATCACGACTCACGAGTAGGGTCTCAGGTTTAACAAACCTTTTCAAGTGCCTTTTCTCGAGCTTTCAATATCGTGTCCGCAAAACGGTTCCTCAAAAAAGCTGCACGGTAAAGCCTGTCGGGGGAGACTTGCCTCTTAGATGGAGCACTCTCCCCTATAATGTTAAGCATGGAAGATAAGATGAAGCCCTGAAACCCGAAGGCAGAAAACTTTTATCACGATGTTTTCATTCTTACCCTCCTCTTGGTAGCTATCCCTCTCAATGGAGTTCGTATTGGCCTGGGCAGTTTCCTCAACTAGACCCATCCCGTTTTCTTCATCTGCACATTGATGGAAAAACAGTAACTTCATAAAGCACTGATGATGGACAAATCACTGAGGCAAAACCTCTGTCAGCAAGCTGAAGATACATGGTTTACCACATCATACTCACAATTTCCAACTTCTAAATCACCAAGGTCACATTGCTTCTGATCCACGTTTGTTTCAGAACACAAAATTTCCTGACAAGGAAAGGAAGCTCACGTAAAATTTCATGCAACTCATTCTACGTGGCTCTTTTACTGGAAACAAAAGTAAAACTGCAATGCTATGCATAATGAACTAAACACAAAAAAAGATCCAAGAGTATGAAATTCTGTATTTCACAAAGCATCATGCCAGTAGAGAAAATGACTACGCCAGCAAAACGTTTTCAGCCCACAACCAACTAGAAAATTAAGTTATTATTCAAGTTTTCACGGTGACTGATCACCATCTTTAAAGAAAACATACTACCACCAGAGCTCCCAAATGTAACAAACTACGGTTGAAAAAGCTCACAACCGTTGGGTACTCCATAATGGAATTCCCTCTCCCGAAGACATCCTAATTCCCAAGCATCTAGTTAATATTATGAAATAATATCCAACAAACTCAGTTGATTAGGTACATTGATCCCAAAATAACTGACAAGGAAAACAAACAAAGCTGAGAGAGCCAAGAACCATAGACTATTTAGTCTGGTTACTAGCATCGGCATCTATAAGGTCATTGTAAAGGTGTAGTTGGCAAGAGGCAAAGGTGTGAGTTGCCTTCTACAGTCTCAACAAGTCATAATGCTTTCATTGGGAGTGACAAATACTTCACCTGATGCATTGTGTGGACAGAGGCAAAATCGATCTTGAGAAAGCTTGATATGTTTGATTGAGAATTGTTGCTGATGCTGTTGGAAAGGGAGGGCTTTGAGAAGAAATGGATAGAGGGGTTGCATTATTGGAACGAAAATTTATGCTATAACAAATAACAAGAGGATGATAAAGCCTACTAAAGGATAGAGACAAGGAAGCTCAATCTCTCATTTTCTTTTGGTCTTAGGTGGTGATGCGTTGAGTTAATTGATTGAATATAGCAACCGGTAGAGGTACTAAAAATCAAGGGTGACGAAGAGATGTAAGAGACTTTTAAGGTACTAAAAACCTGTGAAATCCCTCATTGTCAGGCCTATAGATAAATTGTGAAAACTCATATTTGTAGTGTCAATGTTCCAACCATGAGTCTTCGTTATCCTACTTGGGTGCCCTTGGGAGACAATCCAAGAATGTTAGACAATACAAAAAATTTTGTACAAACTAGAAAAATGGAAAATTTTTCAAACTTTCTAAAGGAATAAGGTGGCACCTGTTCTTGCATATTTATGATTTACAACAATTTCGTGAAACTTTGTCCAATGACCAAAAACTGGGATTTTGACTTTCAAAGATTGTTTAATGATGATGAAATTGAGGAGTGATCTTGATTATCGAACATACTTCTCTATCACAGATGAACGAAATTGTTGGCTTTGGCCTTTGGAAGCAAAAAGAGGATTTTCAGCTCAGTCTATCCTTCGATGTTCTCTTTGCTTGGAAGCAACTAAAGAAATAGACCATATTTTTTCCCTTCTTTCTTTTATAGTAAGAAGATTTCGTGTTTCATGCTCCCTAACTACAAATTAATCTAATGCTATTAAATTGTCCTCTGAACCATATAGTTGGAAAGAATCGAGTTTTTAATAGAAAGGTAAAAGACTGGGGAGAAGTATTTGAATCAGCAAAATCTGATTTCATGTTTTGGGTTTCTATAGATATAAAGTTTAGCATCCGTACTCCCTCAGTAATTAACACAAATTGAGATGAGTAATGGTCAGCTCCATTAGAGAGTTATCTATCGGACTTCTCTCTGTAATTTTCACTAAGCAATGAAATGGTTTGTTCTTCACAGGGATGATCAATCATCTTCACACTATGCACTAAACCCAAAAGGATTTTATGAGCTGTCCATTAGAATCAGCAATCTCAAATGAAATTATGAAAATAAGAAAAAATGAGAACTTGGAAGAAGAGCTGCCCGCCAAACATCATCCCAAAATCTGGTTATGATCGCATAACTAAGGAAACATTTGATAGAAGTAAAGACAAAAGTCTCCGTGCATCGATGAGTGATCTACCAACCACATAAGGAAATATAACACTCTAAATCATGTGTAATCTAGAAGTACCATATACAATAAAAGATTACAGAATCACGCAGAATTTTTTTTTTAAATAATTATTGTAACAAATTTAAACTGCTTACGAAAAAACTTGATCCTAGAGACAAGTTGCATTTTGTGTTAGACTATACTTATCTACCACCCCATTAAACACACTGTTTTAGAAGGCAAAAGGCAACCAGCAGCTTAAAGCAAAATAGCAACGGAAAGTGGCAGAATAACAGAGGCAGCAAACCGAAGGCTGTAAATGGAAAGTGGCTCGCTTCGTTGCAATGTTTTTGCTGTATTCAACTGCCCATTTAAGAGAATCCAAGAAAGAATTAACCTTTTTCTGGGCAAGAGGACTTCCAAAAACCCGAGAATATAGTCTTTGGAAGAGGAGTCCTTTTTGTAAGATGAGAATTGTTTAATTTGTCTTGGGTTTTCTCGGCTGACACCAAAAGCAACATTTAGGAGCTATTTTTTCCCTTCCCCCTCCCAAAGGCTCAATCTCTTTGGGTTAATGCAGTTAAAGCCATTCTTTGGAAATTATGGCTTGAAAGAAACCAACACACCTTCCATGACAAGAAGAAAGACCGCTCGGAATGCTTCGTGCTTGCTAAATTTAAGGCTTCCCAATGGTGTGCCCTCCTGGATCTATTCTCAAGCTATTCTTCCAACATTATCTACAGCAATTGGGAAGCTTTTCTTTCTTTTTAGCTTCGGCACTTTACTTTTTAGTTCTTCTTTCACTCCTTTTGGGGTTTGTATTTTTGAACATTGTATGTTTTTTTCATTAATCAATAAAGATCTCGTTTCTTGTTAAAAAAATAATAAATAAATTTAAAACAAAAAAAGGCAAAAGGCAACCTTGAAGCTTTTAAGCTTTTCCTCAAAATTTAAACAAAAGAATATTGACTAAAAAAATCATAAAAGATAAATCTAAATATTATTCGACATAATAATTACACAAGAATGTAACAACTTCTCGCTACTACTTGCCACTTTATTAAATAGGTATGCTGAAGTCCATTTTAAGATCTACTTATCCTTCAAAGTCCGCTTCCAAAAGCATAGAACCACACATCCAATACCCTCCCTCACCATTAACTGCACTACTGCCAAATTAACTAAATCATCATTCCTTAATCCACACCCATGCTTGGTTGTTTGTGGCCTTGAGATTGATAAATATTAGGCCAAAATAAATGGTCTTGTTTGAAAAAAGAAACAGAGAAATATTCTCCATAATTTAGTCATAAACGATGAAAGTTTGATGGGTTTTCAATACCTTTGGAGCCACATTACAATCTAAAGCTTTAGCAGCATTAGATTCACTTCCCGATAAACTATCTGAGCCAGAATCTGCATGACGAAGCACCAGAATATTTTAAGATTTGAGGCATGAGGAGAGAGAGTTAGAGAAAGAGAATCATCTTTTAACAAATGTTGGTACAGGATAGCGGCAAAGTGGTAACATTACGCATTGATAATATAAACCATAATAATACTGACTGATACAACATAATTGTACGATTACATATTTCTAACAAAAGAACAATTACACCATGTTCGTAGTTTCTTAAATTCAATCAGAAACAAAACCTTTGAATAGAAAATCGCCAAGGAGACAATTGCTCAAGTTAAAATCTTTTTGGAAATTTTTTATTTAGAATGAGGAAGAATATGTAGCAAGGCTCATAGTTTCAAGATCCAAAACTAAATAATTAACACCAGAAGTTAACAAATAGGAATTAAGGGCAAGTAATAACACCAACCACTGGATGAAGAACCTGATTCACTACTCGAGCTACTGGAATTGCTGCATTTACTATCTCTACGGACTGCATCTTTCTCTATCTCTATTGGAGGATAGCTTGAAACAGGGGGATCATTTCCACCAACAATGTCAACATCCTCATCAATGGGATCATTTCCTAATAAGAAACAAGATGAGAATTTAAACACATCAGGAAAAACAACCTCCACATATTGAGCATTAATCAACCTATGCATTACCTTTACAGGGTGGCATTGATGAATTGCTGAATCCTGATTCGTTGTGAAGCTGAAGAGAAGAATGTGGCACAAATCAGAAGCCATTGAATAACACATCCTTATTGCAATTTGAGTGACAAACAAGTTATAAATGAGAATGAAAAAAAATAATTAAAAAAAATAACCTCCACTACACAGGGTTCAGCCTTTGTGTGTTTCCTCTGCTTTTCCATCATATAGTCGTCCAATAGCTTCCTCAATGCAAACAAGGTATCATCACTAAGAGCATCAATGTCAATTTCAATCTCGTCCTCACCAGCTTGAGAATTAGAACTATGCTCCTTTAGGAAGTCAATGATGCTTTCAGGCAATTCTCCCAGCAAAGCCTCCAACTCCACACTCAATTTATGCTTCTCCTGGTCGGTCATGAATTTCACCACACTGTTTGGCTGGATATCAGGGCCATTTGTAGGGATTTTTGCCTTTTTTGAAGGTGGCACTGGCAGAGTACTTTCAGCTTCCTTGTGAACAACCTGGGCTGAAGGCACTTGAGATTGCTCTTCAATCGTTACAGGGAGCTTCTTCTCAATATTTTTCCATCTAACTTCAAAATATTTACTCAGTGTCTTAGCCATGGTATGGACGTCATTCCCAGGAGGGTTGTAAGTCAGCGCATTTGAAAAAGTAAGTCGAACATCTGCAGCAAAATCCAATGGATGTGCATATTCTCCTGCAGCGATCTTACACTTCACGGTGCTCAGATCCATTGGATGCTTTATAACAGTAAAATAATCTGGAATATTCAACTTAACCACATCCACTGGGGTGTTAAAAACCCAACCAAATGGATGTCCCATCAAACGTTCCACCAGCTGTTCACATGGTTTCAATGACAATTTGGTCGAGGAACCAGGTACAACAGCCGGTTTAACTGACTCAAACCGCCCAGCTGAGCTTCTTTTAGTGGAAGGGCCATTGCGCCCAGGGAGAACTGGCTTTTTAGCAGGAGGAACTGATACCTTTGATGACCTGTTAAAAGTCTCTGGAGGAGCTCCCTTGTACTGAACGTTAGAACTCTGGATATTACTAGATGATGAAACAGCAAAATTTGAACTAAAGTTGGAAGCTTTCTTTTGCAGAACTCGGACCTGCTCAAGTTCCAATTTCAACCTAATCCCTAAATCCTTCCTTTCAGATCGAGACAATGTTGATAGGGAAAAAACTTGAAGAGGAGCACCAAAACAATCGTAACCATCTGCATTCACACTAACACGTTTCCTCTTAAAGGCCCGTGAATCATCTAGAGTAGAGATTCCAGTATCCATCCGTCCAGAGCTCCCAAACCCTTCTGATTCGCCGACAGTCTCCACAGCATGTCTGTAATCTGGAACAAAACCAAAAGAAAGACCTTTGGAGTATTTCCTCGATTTACCCATTTTCTGTGAAAGTGAATACTTTCTCGATTCCTTCTGCCCAGCAAACTCTATTGGAACAGTCGGTGCCATAGAATCAATTCCCAGCAACTGCACATGTCAACAGCAACCATAAATTTTGTTCCCAAACTGTAATCTTGGAATCCAGACTTTCAAAATCGAAGTTTCAGCCCAATGTAAAGGTTCTGGTTTCAAGAAGTATGTCCCAGTTATTTGTTTTAGCAACCAATGGATTAATTTTTAAGTTTGGCTTTTTTACATTGAAAAATAATCTAAAAAGACTGATACTTTATCCGGACAACGGAGTTTATCTGTTGTCGACCAGTGTGGGAAAACGCAAGGGTTGCCATTTGTAGGAATCTCAAGCTCGTGAAACAAATTCACTATTGCCTCCCCGGAGAAATTCCAACATCAACAGGATTACAGAGAACAGGTTCATGCAAGTTTCCAGAAGTCGCTTAAACAATAAACAATGACTATACAACCGAAGCCTCAAAAATCCAGTGGTCCAGTCCAAGCAATTGAAATCCACGCAAACTCAAAAGCTTCGACCTCGTAACCACATATTTCCTAAAATCGAAATTGCTTCCTCATCCCATCAACCTCCCTGCCGTCGCAAACATCAACCTCACTCCTCAAAAGAGATACTCCGCCTTTGGGGAATAAAAACATAAAAAGAGCGAGAAGGAGAGAAAAATCGAAATAAAGAAACGGCAGAATCTAATCCAAGAACATGATAAACCCCTCGAAACGAAACCCTAGATCGAGCAGGAGTAAACGAAATTGCGCCAAGAAATGAAAAAGGAAACAGGCAAAAGGCAAAAACCCTAAGAAGACGTTGGCAGAAATCCCATTGAAAACCTGGATCTCGAGCAGAGCCCGTCGCTCGCAATGCGAACCAACCCCGAAAACCCTCGATAACGTCCTTGCAACAGAGAGAGAGAGAGAGAGAGAGAGAGAGAGAGAGAGGGAGAGGAATGAGAAAAAACGCAGAGAGAAATGGACAGTTGAGGCCTGAGACTCAGATTGTTGGGCTAGTTCGCTGTCGTATTTAAAGGCCTGCGGGCCTCGATCCCCGCCGCTAGAAGACGAATCTTAGCCGTCCATTCCCCCCTCCGAAGATCTTAGGCATAGGATTCCAATCAGTTCCGGCACGTCCGATCCAGATCTGATGGTGTGTTTCTGTACGCATGATTTCGAATAAAATTAAAAACTTAATCCAAATCCCCGGGAAAATCTCGAGAGTAGAGAATTGTTGCAACTCGCGCTCGGACGCGGGAACGTGTGACGTTGACACCTTGTTTTGTGTAGCCGCGAGTGAGGAAAGTTTGATGGGGACGTCGACCACGTGTCTTTTTGACTTCTTATGGCAGCAATACGCTAACAATTTGCTGGACTCGGGCATCACTCTCATCATTGGGTTTTGGTTTTTGACCTAAAAAATCAGAATTCAAAATTCAATTTACTTAGCCTAGGCTCTAGGGCTACACTAAAACTAGGAGTCAATTTCGAAAGTTCAGGTCTTTTTATTTTTATGATAATAAATAACAATTTCTATTTCAATCCATTAATTAAACATTAAACTTTAAATTTCCTCCGCCTAAATCTTAAATCTTTATTTAATAAGTGGTATAATTACTGCTCTCAATTAAACTATGTTTTTTATGTGTATTGGTTCTAATTATGTAGTAGTTTAATTTATTAATTCTCAATTAAACTAGAAAAAATCAAATTCAAAATTCTGAAAACAAAAATGTTTTCAAATTTTCCACATCACATAATTCGGAAAACCAATGTGATCCATTAGATCTTAAAAAAAATAACATAATCTAAATCTATACTGCATAATAAACATGTGAACTTTTCTATTTAAATTTTGTTTGGTTAATTCAACAATTATAAGTTGCTTATCAAATTGTAATAATTTTGTTAGTACAATATTTTATTGAAATATATATCTTAATTGATTGAGCTAGCGATACAGTTGAATAATTATTTTATAATACTAAATCATAATGTTTATATAATTATATCAAATATCAACTCACATGTAGAAAATATACGGAAGTATAGAGAATAAAACCATGACCTAATCTATGGGTATAGTTGTCTCTTGAATCCACGATGTGATTTTCATTTATTGAGAGTCACCGACAAATGGGAAAAAAAATATGCAATAAGTAGATTTAAGTACTAATCTAAGTGTGACATTTTGACACGTTTATATAAATCAATATGTTATTAATGTATGTTCAAGAGATTATTTATATGTACTCAAAATTTAATAATTTTGAATTGATATCAGACTCTCCTTATATTTAAAAAAATTGTATTTTTAGACAAATAAGTACTACCAAATCTCACTTCGAATAAAAGACTATCAAATCTCTATTTAAATAGTAATCTACTTGTCTCTTTTGACGATGATAAAATATTGAACCAAATTGTAGATGACAACATTCATTATAGGATACATATACACTATACAACACCGAACCATTTTTTGTCCCATATCTTTAGGACCTTAACAAAATCTTCTATTTGAAGTTAGATCCGCTGGGTATTTATTAAGCATCTTTTATATCACAATATTTAACTTAACATTGTTTTTTTTTTTTTCCTTTTCGAATTCGACAATACATGTGTTTCAGAATTTGAACGTTCGATGTATATAAAGAGGCTCCAATCTATATTTACTCGTCTCTATAATAATTCCAATATGAGACTAAATCCATGGTTATAGTTTTGATGTTGTTATTGTACACTAATTCTGTACGATGAACTAAGTTTTGCATCCTCCCCAATTGTTGATTAAATTTCAGAATTAACTACCAAACAGCTAAATGAAAGGGAGACGACCAAGCAAAAGGAAATTATGAAATTAAAGTCACAAAGATAGATCACATCCGTCTTTAATTATTCTGTGACAAATAACTAAACCCAACAAACCACATAACTAGCAACAGTGATTCGAAACAGCAACAATGGCATCAAGTTCATACCACCATTGAAACGAAGACGAAGCTAATTGTTACTGTATTCCACACTCTTCCTCCTGCCCCTCGCCCAACGAGAGAGTAAATAGAGCTGCACGGTCTCGTTCGCAGCATGACATCCCATAATCAGATAGTTCCGTGGCCGAACCATATATCCAAATCTCATACACAACAAAGAATAGATGCACAAAACTGCACCACCAACAATTTCACGATTCAAATCAAAGTTTTGTTTATGTTCAAATTTCGTGCGTGATTCAATTCCAGAACCAACTTAGACAACTTTGAGCACTAAACAGTGTATAGATGATTTGAACCTGTCGTCATTCGGCCAGATATCATATCGGCGGGCTTTTTCACATCTGCCAATCCCTGCCATCAATTGCAGCACAAATTGATAATAATTTGAAAAGGAAGTTGAGAATTTAAGATTCGAGTTACTTTAATAGCGAAAAACAGAGCATACGGCAGCGACGAAACCAAAGTTAGCGACCGGCCCCCAAAAATGAGTGGTTTTAGGGCCAATTGGGCTGTTGAGGAAAGCTCGGAAAGAAGGCATCGCGGCCCTGGAAATAATTGTTGCAGCTACCTACGAATGAATCACACGCTAGCAAAATAATTAAAGAAAATCAGAAGAAATTCGCGAGTCTACAAAAGTCTGCCCAAGAACGTGTTCTTAAAAGGAAAGAACGTAAAGCAGGAAGTTGATTTATTCATCTTTTCATCGTTATCCACTTATCCCTAGGCGATAAAGTTTGATCTGGCGATTGATTACGTACTTGGATGAGAAATTTCGTATTTCAAAACTCGGATCGATAAATTTGGAGTTAATGTCAGCCGAATCTGGTTGATTGAAAATTAGGTATCTCCGCCCCCAATTGAAACAGCAAAAACAGAGAATGGACGATCGAGGAACAGAGTAAAATAGAAAATTTCTTGAAGCAAATATGCTAATCTTTAGACGGTGGAACTATCGCCGGGATCAGTAACCTCAAGACGCAGCTCGAAAATGGCGGCCGGCCGTCGATGGTGGCGGCGAGAGAGCCGTGCAGGAGGAGATTTGGTGGAGCTTGCGGATAACGACGATGCTAGTGCAATGCTTGCGGGATTATTCCGGAACTTCTGTAGGCTATTAAAATATGGACAAAATTTACCTCCTCAGTCCTTCTCCTGCCTAGTCATGTGTCCTGTAAGATGTCGCCACGTGTCATACTTAAAACAGAAAAAGTCTCTTTCGCCCTGCGATCCTTCACCCATGCCTTAAAATACTCTACTTTCCCTCCTTTGGAACCATGTTTCTGTTGGAAGGACTCGCCGGCGCGTGAAGGGCGTGGCCGGATTCGGAAGGACTCGAATTCCTCTTCCGCCTCCAATTCTCTGCTGCCTTCAGGGCCAACAGGAATTTCGCCATTTGCTTCCGTCGTCTTCTCCGGTGACGATCCTTATCTTCTGTTTTCAGACGTCGTGGTCATGGAATCTCTTAGCCGGATCTTACTTCGTTGGTGTTAACTCCAAGAGGGGAAAGGAGACACGTGGCAAAATAGTATGGCGACACGAGTCTAGGCTGCCAAGTTTCAAATTTAACACTTATATGATAGACTTTATTTAAGGGGCAGGTCTATTTTAGACGAATTTAGGTGTTTAACTAACGGAGTTAAACACCTAAAAAAAAACTAACGGAGTTAAACTTAACGGTGGAGTATGGTTTAAAGAGTAAAATACATATTATCATTTTAACTATTATTGACTTGATACTTTACCCTGAAATTATTTAACTTAAAAAAAATCAAAAATAAAAAAATTCAATGAAGTTTGTGGTTGGAAATTGGAATAGCATTCAATTTAACGTTTTTAAAATTTTAAATTCTTGTACCATTGGGATAACAAGTACTCAATATAATATCTATAAAATATAAAAGCTAAATATACAAAAAAAAAAAGATTTATTCTAAAAGTTAAACAACTAGTCTTGCACGGAAATATCTCTAAACTTTTAGTTGAACAATCAACATTTTATTGTTATTTTTTACTTTCCTGATTCAATAATTATAGAATGATAATCGAACAATCAACATTTTATATTATAATAGGTGTATTTATTTATTGAAATATGCTCCAATGAACTATTTTGTTAGTTTAGATTTTGTGTAACTCATAGACTGTATTATTCAAAGACTATATAACATGTTTGGGCGTTTGGTGGTAAATACATTAACCTAGTCAAATTAACCTTGTAAATATTCAACGGACACAACATTAAAAATCTACTAACATGTTATAATTTTTTTAAAATGCAAATATTCGATACACCAAATATTAAAATTTGGTGGATTTAATAAAAAATTTCTTGTGACTACGTGGACACAATTACATAACTACTTTTATAATTTAATATATTTTAAAATTTTTTGAGGTATAAAAATGAAATAGAGGCCATCAAATTTAGGAATAAACTTAATGATATCAAATAAAATTGCATAAAATTGCAGGTCGAAAGAGGACAGGTTTTAGATATCTATGGATAATCCTTTAAGAAAATATCAATACATGGCATAGTAGACATAGAAGCTCAAATGCCCTGACCAATAATGGTACGGAATGTTGATTCCACGTGCTTCAATTTAATAGGCCACGTGCCAATAATAAAAACTGACCCGACCATAAAGCTAACGAGTACCTATCAATGTTGATGACCACAACAATATCGCCCAAATTTAAGTAAAGTTGCAAAGTTTTTATTTTTCCCTTTTATTTCATGGATGAAGGTAAAATTTATATATTATAGTAATTCAACTAGTGAAGTCATTTATCTCCAATCAAAAAATAAATTTAAATGATCGTCTTTACGTGTTGTACTGAAAAAATATATATTATAGTATAATTATTTTATTATGGAGCAGTATTTGAGTTGGTAAATGTATCAATGGGATTATTAGCAAATAATTTAAAAAACAAACCACACATTTTAGGTCTCCTATTTTTTCTTAAAATTTTCAATTTTAAAAACTATAAGTCAAATGTGTTTGTTATTTGGTTTTTCAAGAAATTTGAATCAAAACAAAATTGTTACGTTTCATATTAAGTTAAGAAATACAAATCTATTAGAAAAAAGATAGGAAGAATACATAAAAGTGAAAGTGTTAGGAGGAAGTAAAAGTAATAAAAGGTAAATGTAAAAGAAAAATGTCAAGACGAACATAATCTAAAGTTAATTGATATATATTTCTAACTAAGAGGTTTTTAATTCGTCCCTCACTCCAAGTTGTACTAAAAAAATATAAGAGAAAAAGAAAAAGATCTTAGATAAACAATTAGATGTAGTTAGGTAAAGAAATAAGTTTGTGAAAAAATAAATTAAAGTTTGAGAAACACAACCTCAGTATTGAAGAGGGGAAATCTTAGTCTTCAAATAATGGACAATTTTTTAGATGCATAACAAAATAAGATAGATAGATATATTTTTAAAATGAGTCTTACTAGAGAGGAATATGTTAAGCTGATAAAAATATGACGTGAGAATAGATTTTTATCCCAAATTATTTAACAGTAGAAATGACATTTTAAGTTATCGTGTAGGTTTTAAAATGAAATCAAAAGTAAAATGGTGAAGATTAAACATGAGTTTTATACCTTTATCCAACAATGTATTGGTCATATTGAACGTTGTTTATCCAACAAGATGAACCATTTTATCTTTCTAAAAAAGATTACAAACCTCGTTATTGGTGCTTTACCCTAAAAAAACGACAGCTAATATTTAAATCCAAATTAGTAATGTTTTTTATTGTGATTTTTTGTCGCATGTGCTGATGTTTATCCAATGATACAAGGAGAGCAATTATAGACCAATAATGTCCCTTTCATTTTGATAAAAATATTATCCCATGAGCTAAGCGTGGTCCATGTTGCCATGCTATTTATTTATCGACGGACCAAGATGCTCAATTCGTTAGAACTTGAAAGCGCTGCAAACAAAAGCAGGCGCAGGCTGTGAAGCGAAGTGGAAGCTCGTTGCATGAAGAAATGGCTAAGGCAAATGGTGAAAGCACTTCTGTAGTTTCTGATTTCATCGACTTCCTCAACGCTTCCCCAACTGCTTTCCACGCCGTCGGTAAGTTACTAACGTCCGCTTTAATCTTATCTCCCACATTTCCTCGCTACATCATTAACTTTCTACTTCGTTTTATAATTTTTTAAACTTTAATTTATAAACATTCTTTTTCACCTTGCATTATTGTCTATCTTTCCGAAACGTTTTCAAAAACTAATTAATATTATAAATTTTAAGAAATTATTTTTAAAATTTGACTACAAATTAAAATATGTTTATAATAATAATAATAAAATATATCAAATAAATTAATAGGATATATACTTAATTTATAAAACAAACAAATTAAAAACAAAGTTGAGCCTTAATGTTTGGATTTGATTTTGATGGTTTGATTGAATATCTTTATATAATCGTTGGATGAATTAGATGTCCATAGATGTGATAGATTCTTTTTGGACACCAATTCATCCACCTTTCGAAAATATGTTACGCATCCAAAAAAAGGTCACTGGAAAAAGCTATCAACATTGGTCAATAGGATGGGATTTTGGAAAACTTTGACAAAATTAAAGGGGTAAAGGTGAATTTTTAAATTAAAAATTCATGAAATACTAAATTAAAAGCCTAACACAAATTAATATTTAAATTATTTGTTTAATATAAACATTTAAATAATTAACCAATCAAATGCTTCGATATTTTGAATATATAATTTTAGTTGACAAATCATTTAAGTGTAGCTCAGTCAAAACGAACGTAACTAAGCGTAATTAACATATAACTCTAATGGATTGTCGTCGTCTTGTTATCAATACATCACCATTACCTCCCCTCCTCAACATGCCGTAAAAAAAAAAATATACATGGCCATTATCTATCAATACTATATTATTATCAAAAGAAAAAGAAAAAAAAAGAAGAACTGGATTCTGGAATCCCGGTCCTTGTTAAAAAATTTGCTACATGTTTGGATTTTGTTTTTTACAGAGGAGGCAAAGAAGCGCCTGGTAAGCGTGGGATACGAACAAGTATCTGAAACAGAGGATTGGAAATTGGAAGCCGGAAAGAAGTACTTCTTCACCAGAAATCATTCCACTATTGTCGCCTTCGCGATCGGTAAAAAGTATGAAAACGATTCCAATGCCCTTTTAGTTTCTTAGAAATACATTGAAAACTATTTCCAATTTGTGTTGTTACCAAATTCGTGTTCGATTATATTTCTAGTTTTTCTACTGCCGACGAAGTAATAATCTGTCTTCCTTAGTTACGTTGCTGGGAATGCATTTCATATTGTTGGTGCTCATACTGATAGCCCTTGTTTAAAATTGAAGCCTATAAGCAAGGTAGTTATTAAATTTCATTGTGTTTTTTCTTTTACTTCATATAATACGCACTGTGATGGTCTTGCCAGTCAAGATACTTGAATGTTGTGCAGATTACGAAGGGTGGATTTCTGGAAGTTGGCGTCCAAATATATGGGGGTGGGCTGTGGCACACATGGTTTGATCGGGATTTAACAATTGCAGGAAGGGTGATTATAAAGGAAGAGAAAAATGATTCTGTTTCATATGTTCATCGACTTGTTCGAATTGAGGAGCCCATTTTGAGAGTCCCCACACTAGCTATTCACTTGGACAGGTTTTTCTACTAAATTTAGACTTATATCCACAAGGGTCTTGCTTCTTTGTTGTAGTATGAGGCTGGATTATGTGTAGGAAATTTTTTGTTAGCTCGCTTTATCATTACAGAATCTCTATGTTATGTTTCTTGTGAAAAGGGACGCTGTTGCATTTGCGGTGAACACAGAGACTCAACTTCTCCCAGTTTTGGCAACCACTATTAAGGTGATTTGCTCCTGCGTTCTATAAGACGTTAGGCTTCATTAAGTAGAGCGAATAACGTTGAGTACTATTAGTTGATCTGTAAACTTTCTTCACACTCATTCCTATTATAGTTTCTTTTAAGCAACTTAAGATATACTTTCTGTCATTATATGGTATTACGAGCTTACAGATATCAATAATTCAAGAAATCAGCATTGATTTGAGCTTCCTTTACTTGGATGTTTGATCATTAAAGATGCATTTGTCTTATGAATATATATATATATAAATCTTTGTAGCAATACTCCGTCTGCCTTTTCATCCTTATTAAGTTTATGTTTATCTTTCTTCCCTAATTAATGACTGCTCACAGGGGGAATTGAATAAAGTTGTTTCCAAGGATGATGCACAAAATGACGGAGAGATAGCAGATCAGAAGTCAACTTCTACTAGCTCAAAGCATCACTTGCTTCTATTACAGGTAAGACAAATCAGAAAGCAATGCCTTGTGTTTTGGGCTGAACAGTGAAGACCAGATTAATTTATTAGCCTGGACTCATTGAAATTTTGGTGGATTAATTTGAACAATATGGTTGAAATAAAAGTTTGAGCAACGAAGATAAGATGTTTGTAATTTCTACATTTGCTCCGTTGTCATTGTGATCTTTTGCCTGTCTTGTGTAGCTACTTGCCGATAAACTTGGCTGTGAACCAGATGACATATTTGATTTTGACTTGCAAGTATGTGACGCTCAACCAAGTGTGGTTGGTGGTGCAAAGAAGGAATTCATTTTCTCTGGAAGGCTCGATAATTTATGCATGACGTTTTGTTCTTTGAAGGTCTGTATTGTGCCAGAACTTTCTTAACTCACCTAGGAAGTCAACTGCATCCTTAAATAATCTTAGTAATTAGATAAATTCCCTTAAACCACATGGCACATATTCGTTCCTCTCTTACTTTTACATAAGATTCTTCGTTTGATATCATTCTAACTCCATACACTTTTATCTGAATGGTGTAAAACCAGGCACTGATTGACAGTACATCCTCCGAAAGTAGCCTTGAGAATGAACCTGGTATCAGAATGGTGGCCTTATTTGACAATGAGGAGGTTGGATCTGCTTCAGCTCAGGGAGCTGGGTCTCCAACAATGCTTAATGCTTTGTCACGAATTACAAGTTCATTCAGCTCATATCCTTCGGTATTCAACTTCTCCTTTTACATTTTCCTTATTTTTTGTTTCGAGGTGAATGTAGTAATAATGATGGTAGTTGTAAGTTGTGAGCTTTCATTTGTGGTCCTAGGTCTCTGAAATCTAATATGTCACAGATAATTGAACACTATATCATGTAATTACTCATACTGTGGCTTATGTAAGATAGTCTTACACCATGCTGTCTTCCAACTAAAATTCTGAACTAATTGATTGATGGTTGAAGAAGTAGTTGTTTCTTATGATCTCTAAAAGCAATAGGAAGTGGTTCCATGATAATTATTTTGTCATTTGGAAGCTACCTTTATTTGTGGCTCTAGCTTTGTCAATGCGTTCAAAATATTTACCATACAATCAACCAGTACGATTTGATTTGTGGACTTCTTTTATCACTCTTTTTCCACAGCTGGTTGAGAAAGCTATCCAGAAAAGTTTCCTGGTATCTGCTGACATGGCACATGCATTACACCCTAATTATATGGTATGCCATCCCATTTTTTTGTGAAAATTTTCAGTGTATTATAATGTTTAGTGTGTTGATATCAAATTTCCATCTTCAGGAAAAGTATGAAGAAAATCATCGACCCAAGTTCCACGGAGGACTGGTCATCAAGGATAATGCAAATCAAAAATACGCTACTAATGCAGTCACTTCCACCATATTTCGGGAGTTGGCTATAAATCATAACCTTCCTGTCCAGGTATGTTATATTTACACCTCCTAGTTGTTGTCACCATGCCATCAAATAGTTTAAGGATACGACTATTAAATGAGTAGGAAGAAAGGATATCCCGTGTACTTAGGCCCTTAGCGCGGTTGAGAGTAACATAAAAGTGCTATCATGAAAATTATAGTACCTTCAGTCCGAAGTGCTTGAACAAAAAGTACTTAAAAACATTTTCAAGAGTATGGCTGGTACTAAGCATATTTTCGTTAAAAGCACTCCAAACACATATTTAGTGAAAATGAGCACCTTGGGATGAAAATTTGGACACTTCTAGGATGAAAAGTTCTTATTGGTAACTTCTATATTTTGGACCACATCACGATTTTTGAAGAAAAGTTCCAAGTGTGAAAACTTACGCTTACCTCATCAGTTATAAGTTTATAATCTTGCATTTGGTAGGAATAAGATTATATTGTGAAAACTGCCAATGGTAAAGATGGTGACTGAAATTTGCAGGATTTTGTGGTCCGCAATGACATGGCATGTGGTACCACCATTGGTCCCATCCTTGCAAGTGGCATCGGTATACGAACAGTGGATGTGGGAGCACCACAGCTATCAATGCACAGTATTCGAGAAGTGTGTGGTGTAGATGATGTTGATTACTCGTATCAACATTTCAAAGCTTATTTCGAAGAGTTCTCTGCTCTTGATACGATCAAGGTTGATATATAGAACCGTCGTCGTCATCGTAGTCTCGAGATGTATCCAATAATCGATGTTACATCGGAAATAAGGAGTATGGATTTAAACCCACCCTCCATAGGTACACGTACCTAATCATTTGGACTTTGGACTATGCTTAAATTATCTTAAAGTTAACATAAAGTACTCATCTAAGCCATTTCTATGGTTTTTTACTCGTATTGTATGTTCTATTATAAATAATCTAATTGGCTATATGTGAAACATACTACGTTGATTAAATAAAAAGTAATGGATGAATAGAATATTTGAAAGTCTGCAGAAAGAAGAAAGGAAACTAAAGCAAGAAATTGATATCTTTCTTATTTCCTCGTACGCCATAAATCTGAACAAGTAAGAGGAACTTCATATTTCGTAATTCGAAACTCAGAATTAAAACATCTATTAGTTAAAGACAAGTTTCCTTGGGTACCATCGTATAAAAATAGACATCCTTGTGCTTCTTCCTCTAGACTTTTTATAGTAGAAAAATACTTATGGGCCATACGTTGGAGGTCCAATAGAGATGCTTTAGGCCCGGAATACCGATTCCACGGGCTTGAGTTTAATAGGCCGCGGGCCCATAATGAACACTGGCCCAACCAAAAGTTATCAACTGCGTCTGGGGTAGGCCAAGTCTACATTTTCTTTCGCTCTCTGTGCGGAGGATTAAAATCCATTATTTGGAACAAACGCAATCTTAGCAGTGAAGTGGAGCTCTCAAGTCGAGATCGCAGGCATGGCGGCAATGGATGAAGCAAAATGTAAAAGTAATTCTGTCGTGGCTGATCTTGTCGACTTCTTGAACGCTTCACCAACTGCTTTCCATGCCGTTGGTAACTTCTACTTCATCTCCCTTCTCGCTCCGTCTCTCTCACACGTACAATATCAGTCTCTCCTTTCCTTTTGCCTTTTGAGAAAATCATGTTTGGAAATTTGAAATCTCCTTGTTTTCATCCTATTCGCCTCCTTAACTTCATATTTGTTGTTTCTGTTATTGAAGAAAAAAATTTCTACTGACTTGAACTTGCAGTTGTGTAGCTCGTCGTTTGCACTAAATATTGATTTTTGGATTTGTAAACTGACGGTCAATGGGGATGTATTCAAACTCTTAATCGGATTTTCACGGATAATCTAGTTCTTAGCTTTCATTTTTATACAAGAAATGTATATACTTAAGTTTGCTATATGATCGGATTTTTGTAGAGGAGGCAAAGAAGCGTCTCCGAAGCGTCGGATATGAACAAGTATCTGAAAGAGAGAGCTGGAAATTAGAAGCTGGAAAGAAGTACTTCTTCACCAGAAATCATTCGACTATAGTTGCTTTCGCGATCGGTGAAAAGTATGGCTATCAAGCTCATGCTCTTAGTTTGGAATCGAATGCCCTTTAGATTCCTAAAAATAATCGTGATTAGAAAGCTAATCCTCTTAGTTTCGAATCAAATGCCCTTTAGATTCCTAAAAATGTATTGAAAAAAAATTCAATTTGTATTTATAATTACAACTGGGATTAGAAAGCTCATGCTCTTAGTTTCGAATCAAATGCCCTTTAGATTCCTAAAAATTTCAATTTGTATTTCTAATTACGATTGTAGAAAGGGGCGGGCCACATAGCATTAAGTAGAGCGTTGATTTAAAGCAGAGGAATGATCTATAATATACCAGTTCGTGCTTAATTTCATTTATAGTCTTTCTTTTATTACTGATGTGTAATAATGCGTCTTCTTTAGATATGTTGCTGGGAATGGATTTCACATTGTTGGTGCTCATACTGATAGCCCTTGTTTAAAACTGAAGCCTGTGTCCAAGGTAGTCATTTATTTTTCATTGATTTTTTTTAACATACGTCATACGTGCCATGATGTATTGCCACTCAAGATTCTTGAATCTCATGCAGGTAACAAAGGGTGGATATCTGGAAGTTGGCGTCCAAACATATGGGGGTGGGTTGTGGCACACATGGTTTGACCGTGACTTAACAGTTGCAGGAAGGGTGATTATAAAGGAAAAAAGAAGTGATTCTGTTTCATACATTCACCGACTTGTTCGAATTGAGGAGCCCATAATGAGAGTCCCCACACTAGCAATTCACTTGGACAGGTTTTCCTACTAAATTGAGATTAGTATCCACCTTGTCTTGCTTCACTTGTAGTTTCTATCATTACAGTATTCCTATGTTTTTTTTCTTGTGAAAAGGGGCACGGATGGATTTAAGGTGAACACGCAGAATCATCTTCTCCCAATTCTGGCAACAAGTATTAAGGTGATTTGCTAGATGTAATTTCATAGACTTGGGACATAAATAATTTTTCTTCCCACTCATTTCTTCCATAGTTTCATTTTTTAAGAAACTTAATAGATAATTTCTGTTATTATATGGTTTTACAACTGATGTTTGATAATTTCCTAATCGATTTCAGCTCCCTTTACTGGATCTTTGGAATATATATAAATATCAATTGACTGATGCAGTACAAATTTTCATGATAGGAGATAGATTATATGTATTGGATTTATGACTGAAATTTTGTACGAAAATCTTAGTAGCAAATACTCTACGCCTTTTCATCCTATATAAGTTTATTTTTCCTCCCTAATATACGAGTGCTGACAGGGGGAATTGAATAAAGTTGTTGCCAAGAACGATGCACAACATGATGGAGAGAAAACAGATCCAAAGTCAGTTCCTAATAACTCAAAGCATCACTCACTTCTATTACAGGTAGACAAGTCAGAAAGCAGAGTCTTGTATTTTGGGTTGAACAATGGAGACCAATTTAATTTATTAGTCTGTGCTCATTTGGATTTTGGTGGATTAGTTTGTAAATATCGATAGAAGTACAAGTTTGAGCAGAAGATAAGACATTTCTAGTTTCTACATTTGCTCCGTGATCATTTTGTTTTTTTTTCCTGTCTCATGTAGCTACTTGCCGAGCAACTTCACTGTGAAGCAGATGACATAAGCGATTTTGAATTGCAAGCATGTGACACGCAACCCAGTGTGATTGGTGGTGCCAAGAAGGAATTCATTTTCTCTGGACGGCTTGATAATTTATGCATGTCATTTTGTTCTTTGAAGGTCTGTATTATGCCAGAGGCTTTCTTAACACATCTCTTGGCAGCCAAGTTATTCCCCAAAACCATATTGTAGTTGCTACTAATTTTACGGATTCTTCATTTGACATTATTCTAACTTCACATACTTTTATGTTAATGGTTTCAAATCAGGCACTGATTGACAGTACATCTTCGCAAATTAGCCTAGAGAATGAGCCTGGTGTTAGAATGGTGGCCTTATTCGACCATGAGGAGGTTGGATCTGATTCAGCCCAGGGAGCTGGGTCTCCTGCAATGCTTAATGCTTTATCACGAATTACAAACTCCTTCAGTTCAGACTCATCGGTATTAACTTTTCCTTGCATATTTTCCTGACAGTTGTCTTAGTTGTAACTTTCTTGTGGTGTGGTCCTAGGCCTCCAAAATCTAGTTTGTTACAGATGCTTGAAAACTATATCATATAGTTACTTTCCTTGTGGATTTATATACTTACACGACATTATGTTTCAAACTAAAATTCTCAGTTAACTGATTGATAGTTGAAGTAGTTGTTTTTCACATAATCTATAAAAGCAATAGCGATAATAATTATTTTATCACAGTGGGAAGCTACCTTTATTTGTTGCTCTAGCTTTGCCGATGCATTCAAATTTTATACCTATAATTATAAGGAGCAAGGGTATTACAATTATGCTCCCTCTCTTTCGCTCAAATTTCTTTTTCTGGTTTTCTTTTATTTAATATTTACCATAACAATGTAAAAGGATTCTGAGAACTATTTCAATGAGAATCATTTGTTATAAATTTAATTAAAGATGTTCAAACGTTAGTTTTCATATTACTTCAATTGAAATCCTGCCCCAAGTTTCTATAAAAAGGGGAGAAATCTGTTCCAACTGAAATGAACTATTCAATTTGTTAACTTCTGTTGTTCTGATTGGATTAACCACACCAGAAGTATGAGCAGAGCGTGTAATTGTAAAATGCATTTCTAACAGGAATTTGGCTATAACATGTCCGCTTTAGACGAGCACTAATATTGCTTGACTTGTGTTCACAACCAATATGACTGGACTTGTGAACTTTGTTTATCTTCAGCTGATTGAGAAAGCTATCCAAAGAAGTTTCCTGGTATCAGCTGACATGGCGCATGCATTACACCCTAATTATATGGTATGTCATCCCATTAGTAGTCTGTTTGCCAGTAGGTTACAATAATGTTTAATGTGGTGATATCAAATTTTCATCTCAGGACAAGCATGAAGAAAATCATCAGCCCAAGTTGCATGGAGGGTTGGTCATCAAGAACAATGCAAATCAACGATATGCAACTAATGCAGTCACTTCGTTCATATTCCGGGAGTTGGCTGTGAATCATAACCTTCCTGTTCAGGTCTATTATATTTCCACATTTTTGTCATTATGTCATCAAATAGTTTTAGTTTTAGGATACAATTATTAAAGTAGGAAGAAAGTATAGAATCCTTGTGCTTTCGCACCCTTGTTTTAAAAGGCCCATTTAGGCACCTCAAGAGGAATGAAAATCAGTTCTTTGAAGAAAACTTTGAAACTTCTAGAAGGAGAAGTTCTTATTGCTACCTTGTATATTTTGAACCACATCACAAATTTTGACGAAGTTCCAAAGTGCAGTTTTACCTTAACAGTTATAAGTTATGCACAATCTTGCATATTGATAGGAATAAGATTATAATGCGATCATTTGCTAATGGTAAAAATGGTAACTACAATCTGCAGGATTTTGTGGTCCGCAACGACATGTCTTGTGGTTCAACCATCGGCCCCATTCTTGCAAGTGGCATAGGTATACGAACAGTAGATGTTGGAGCACCACAGCTATCAATGCACAGTATTCGGGAAATGTGTGCTACAGATGATGTCAATTACTCTTATGAACATTTTAAGGCTTACTACGAAGAGTACTCTAGTCTTGACGAGAAGCTCACAGTCGATATGTAGAACGTATTCCTCATCTTCTCAGGAAGTTTCTAATAAACCGACTGTAGGGTACATGCCACCGAGTTGTTAGCACAAGGTACTTTTGTATACCAAGACTATGGTTATATTCTGCTCGCACTTTCTACTATCATTAGTCCAACGAGTTATATGTGCAACATGAAACATCAATAATATTGTATAAGATTTCTCCAGGAACATTTTTGTTACCAAATAATTGTAGAAGGCTCTATCTGATGACGCTATTTGACATGTTTATTGTTTTTACTTTCACACTTGACTGTGTTTCCTAATCAAGTTTTTGTGCATTCTTTTTCTGATTCGATCACGAAAATAGATATTTCTCATTTATGTTTGAAGGAAAAAAAAAACACATGGGCATATTAAATACTTATCCGTTTTGGCTTTTTATTTCCTTTCATTGTTATCTTGATAAAAGAAAGGAAAATAATGGCTCCTTGGAGTTAAAAAGGAGGAACTTCCTCCTTAATACCATTAACAACTTATTATTATTATTATTTTTATTTGTCCCTTCTTTTATATATGAGATTAGGAATGGAAATGCCAGTCGCTCTATTCGAAAGTGGTTAAATGCAAGGGTTTGATACATATCTAGCTTAGTTTTAAAAAAATATTTTTACACAAATAATCTGTAGAAAAAGTTATATTTTAAAGTGGTATCAAACTAAGAAAAGTTTTTGTTTAAAATAACTGCAGTTGAATTTAATTTGATAATAAAATGAAATGGCCACCGTTATAATGTTCTTACAAGGTGGTTTATGCAAGAACTTCGTGCCAATATAGCTTGATTTGATATGGATCATAATATTCTCATCCTATGAAGTGAATAAGTCTATGAATCAGTTGCTTGCTACAAACTGAATTTGTCACTTTCTTTTAGCTATTTGTTGAATTACATGATAATCCAATCTAAAATTGTTCCTAATTTTTTCGCAAATCAATAATTTAAAATCAATCAAGAAGTTTCGTAGATATCTAAGCCTTGAGTAAATTAATATATGGAGTCAATTAATGAAAAAACTTCTAATATCCATGAACATAATTTTATCATTGAAGTCCAATAATAATTTATCCCATAAAATAGTAAAAGATAGCGTATCAAATATGTATTGACTAAGTTTTGAGTCTTTGAAACAAACTTCCAAATGAGGCAAGTGCAATTTTCAATCATTATTATCAAAGTTGGAATATGAAATCCATGCTCTATGGGCGTGGTGTTGGTTTACCGTCGAAGGCGCGTGGCTATGAACCAGGGAACAATCCCACATCGAAAAGGGGCGCAATCTGCCGAAAGGAAACGCTCCTATAAAACGATCCTCCGAGCGATGGAGAGAGGCACGGAGCCGTGCGGTGAGCACAGAGCGAACTATTCTTTCGCCTTTTACTAAAGAATACCGTGTGCTCGCCGCTCAAAGCGGCATACGCCTATTATTGGAGAGCTTTCTCTTCGGAGAAGCTCCTGCAATTTTAAGTCCAAATGTTTCTTCTCTCCTACTCTGCACTTCTGCCTCGATTGATTAGGGCAACTTGATTAATGAATGGTCTTGCAGTAATATTTGTGTGCCCTAATCTTGAGAAATAGCAAACTCAGGGATCAGGATGGAGTCACCGTTGCGGCAATCGTGTACTGCAGACAGAAGGAAAAAGCAGAGAAAATGGAGAACCGTAAAATCTGCCTTTTAACCATTTTCCAGAGGCTCAAGTCAAACGCAGCCGAGAGGAGTAATTTGCCAATGATATTTAGTTGGTAAAGACCAGTGAAAATGCTCTATTGGAACTCTAAAAGGATGCGTGTAAATTTTGCTTGATTGGTAAAAACATAGTTTGGTTGGAAGAAGGATTTGAGAGTATGCTGAAAATCGGCAGACGAACGGCGATTTCACCAAGCACAGGTGGAATCACTACTTACAGTTATTTTCTCTGTACCATACAACATTTTTTATTATCAATAATCCCACGAGCTATAACTGCAATATGAAACATCGACAACTTTGTATAATAAGATTTCTCCATGAAAATTTTGGTTTAACAAAGTCATTGTAGGAGCCACTATGTGATGATGCTTTTTGATATGTTTTATGCAATATTTCCTTTCATTTCAATCTTTACAAAACAAAGATCAGTGCAGTGATCAGTGATCAATCCTTGTGGTTCTGATGCAATTAAGGATGCAATTAGTGAGAAGCTCCACTGTTATTTATTTATTTTAAACTTTACCAAATGCGTACGTCCAATTGAGTCCTCAACTTTAGAGAAGATCACAAGTTATCTTATCTACTAAATTTTACTAAAGTTGATTTAATAAGGGTTCAGTACCAAAATTTTGAAAATGTATATTCTAATGTATAAATTTTCAGAAAACAATTATTTTTGGTTGTTATTGTTTTTCTAACTAATTTTTATGTTTCGGCCCATTTATGTAGTTCTAATAAATACTAATATAACTCAACATGTTGATACACACCCTCAAAGCCATGTTATTTATGTGTCAAACAATTAATAGCAAACTAATGGTAAAAACTTTCGAAACTAAAATAGACACTTGAAAGTTCCAAGAACCAAAATGAAATAAATTTAGAAATTTCCATAACCAAGATGCGATTTAACCAAAAGATTTACCATTAAAGTCTGTCTATTTTTACCTGTTAAGAAAGAAATGATAATTAAACTATGTTGTACTGCTTTAAAAGGAAACTTCTTTGGCTCAAGAAAAATTCAAATAAGGGCTCATTCAAGTGTAATTTAGAATAACATCATCACAAGTTAGAATATGAAAACCATACTACGGCGCCTTCGTCAAAGGAGCGAGAGTATGTGAAATGTGAAATAGGGAACTATCCCACATCGAAAGATCTTTAAGATGCCGAAAGAACAAACTCCTATAAAAGGCGCATCCAATCATTGTTCAAAGTACGGAGCCGTGCGGTGAACACAAAGCGAACTATTCTTTCGCCTTTTACTAAAGAATACCGTGTGCTCGCCGCTCACAGCGGCATACGCCTATTTTTGGAGGGCTTTCTCTTCGGGGGGAAGCTCCTGCAACATTTTAGTCCTAAAATTCCTCTCTTTTCAATTTTATAATTTATATGTTTATTATGTATTGTCATGTAGATTAATGGTAGTCATTTCCGATGGATGGAATTCTCTATAGCACGCTGAAGAAGAGAGCTGTAATCGCTGCACTAAACCATTTCTTCTCAAAATTATGTAAATGACGCGCTTAAAATGAGCCAATCAGTATTTTTTTGGAATGATTTATTGATTTTTCAGCATAACAGTTTCTTGTAACTACTACTCTTGACAACTTCTTATATAAGCATTTCCTGTTTCTCAATAACACTTTTTAAGAGTTAAATTCGACACGTCTCGTTTCATGGGTTAGTTGGTTCTCGATTGTTTTCATAATATTAGGGTTAAAATGGTCAAATACTTGATAAAATTCTCTCTCTAAAAAACTTGAGTGAGAAGATTGGACAGCAACTTTAACTAATCTAAAACCACTTTTTATTTGCCTAAAAGTCATGTCGACTGCATTTTAATCCATGAACACCACTAAAATGCCATAAAAATTCTAATAAGGCTTGTCATCAACAACCATTTGTTATAGCTCCAATTCATCAACCACCATTTCTCATGTTGAAATATTGAAGGGGTTTAACCCCACAAAAAGAAAAAGGGGAGAAGCATTTCCCACCGGATAGAACTTTTGATACTACCAATACTATTATAATACTATTTTTTCCTCCATGGTACTTGTAATTTTGATAATACGACTGAAAATAAGTGGCTGTAGCATAATTTTTTTGTATTGCAAAATTGCCCCTGACCCAATGGTTCCCAACCAAAGCCACGATGCAGATTGGGTGAACAGGAATACAGTTGGCGATGAACAGTGACTGCACTAAGTGAAACGCAACAAAGGCCAAGTGGGGAGGAATCAGCTTGAAAGCATCATCTATTCTAAGGGCTATGCAAAATTCCAGTGGGGCCAAGAACATGATTTTTTGTTTGCAACTAGTTCAAAAAGAGATTCCAACAACACACATAGTTTATGTACTAGCCAAAGAAATCTGCAAAGAAAGTGATTAGATTCCAATGATCATTCTTATTTTGTAGTAGTATTAGTTCATTCTGTAATCAGAAGTTGATAGCAGTCGGGTAACTTTGGTTTGTAAAACAAATGAAGTTATATCATAGAGTCGGCAGATTCGACCATATAACATCAGTAAACAAAAAGGGTAAACAATGGTTTTCTGTGAAAATAAGCCATTGTTGAGCTAACAGACGTGTTTCTAGGATGAGAGCACTTTCTGAATCTCTTCTGTTACCTGTTTGGGAGGCTTCTCTGCTTGGAGATCTGCAACAATTTTCTTCTTGGAATAGTAGTCAATTACCTATGAGAACAAACAAATTCCATTTGCATTACAGAGTTGTACAAAGAGATGTGCTACCATAAATATGCTAAGAAAAGGATTGTGCAAAGCATGCGTACTGGCTTAGTTTGCTTGTGGAAAGCCTCCAGCCGTGATTTGAGAACCGCTGCAGTATCGTCCTTACGTTGAATCAAAGGTTCTCCAGTGACCTTGGAATCAGACAAAAGTTTGGTAATAAGTTGTTGGCGGGGTTCGGAAATATGAAATTTTAGTAGGGAGCTATCAATGTTCTATCCTGTGAGTTTTAATTTAAATTTTAACCAAAATGTTAAGCTTCCCTCTCGGGAGACAACAAATAACAGTTTCTCCTTTAAGGCGGCACTTAAATACTCCGCGCTTAGCCATTGCTTCAAATATGAAAATAAGACCAACAAAAGGGAAAAGATAAAGGAGGTAAGACATTGTTAGAAGTAGAAAACAGGGATTTCTCGATTGAAAATTTCAGCAATCAAAAATAATATGTTATAAAACCAGAAAGAGGATAGGTCAAATAAGATAGCTGTCTTACATCATCAACACCAGCGACCTTTGGAGGAGCAAATGTTGTGTGGTAAGACCTTCCGCTGGATGGGTGTATCCATCGCCCTGTAATCCTCTCCTCCAAGATTGAATCATCAATGGAAAAATTAAGCACCTTATCAATTTTAACACCCTTCTTTTCAAGCATCTCATCCAGCTGCAGTTAAGAAATTGGGTGAACAGAAAAATTCAAGAAGCATTTCATTGCAAAAAGTACAAAGGACAAAAACAAGAGAAGGATGTGATACCTTCTGTGCTTGGACCACTGTTCTTGGAAATCCATCAAGAATGAAACCTTTCTGACATGAAGGCTTTCTCACTGCTTCATCTATGATGCCAACAACCAAGTCATCAGACACAAGTTCACCCTGAAAATAAAAAAACTATTAGTAAGAAACAAGATGACTGTAATATAAAATTTTGTAGCAGGCAACATAGTAAAAATAATAAAACAAAAATACCTTATCCATAGCCTCCTTAGCCTTAACACCTAATGGAGTTTTAGCAGCAACTGCAGCTCTTAACATATCACCAGTGGCCAAGTGACACAAGCAGTAATCATCCTTGATGATTGGAGATTGGGTGCCTTTTCCTGATCCAGGTGGACCTGTGGAACAAAAGACAATCTTAAAGACGAACAAAAATCAACTAAAATGCATGAGATCTCAATATCATACAACGGCCACAAAAATTTGGATTCCATTAAATAGCATTCAAAATGAGAACTTAATGTTGAAATTATACGCATAAAACTAATTACATTTTGCTTCTCTCCTTCCCTTTGGCCATTTTACTCATCTACAGCATAGTGGACGGAAAATGGGGAACTCATTTCAACCATGTGAACTATTCATCGACAAATTTATCAATTCGTGGAATATTCAGCTTGAGCACTATGGCATCGGGAATATACAAAGGTAAGACACCAGATATGGTCACAAACATGGGAATCCGTCGATTTATGTAACGAGAGTTCGAGTACGAATAATGCAGAAATCATGGATACTGTTCGATAAGTCTAATCATCGTCCCTATACAACCATTGCACCTCCACCTCGGATCTAATAGAGAATAGAATAAGCGACCTTACAATACTGCCTCGTAATGCCAATCTACGAGAAAAAGATCCTAGGCAGGGCACGCCAAAGTTTCAAACTATCGATAGAGCACGACAACTTTGCGTCGCAAAGAGCAGGAAGTCGCGGATCTAAGATGGAATTCTATCGAGTAAGAAATACCAGAACATGAAAGAAAGAAGAACGACAAATTCCTGAAGGCTGACATGAAAATGCATAAACGTATGAGGAAGAAAATTACCAATGAGAACGAGACGCTTGTCGGACTTGGAAGCGCATTTCATGCGACGGAGGAGCTCGGACATGAGATCAATGGAGGAGACATCTTGTAAGGTAGTTGCCGCTGAACTACTGGCCATGGCGGTCTCTTCTTCTACACTCTCTTCTTGCGGAGCCTCCAATGAGGTTTACGAGATTTAAGCTACAGCTGCGACCGAGAACCTCTCTCTCTCTTTCGAACCCTCCAACTTTTGAAACTCCAGCGGCGGCCTGCATATACCAAGTTATACTCCCCCATTCCCCTTTTGCCCTTCGACTTTGTTAAAATGACATTGGTGTCCATCCCTTCTTTATTACCGCTAAGTTAGGTTTATATTGGCAACTCTCACCTCTTTTTATTATGTAATATTATAAAAAGAACCATCTAAAAGTATATCATCCTTCGCGGATTTATACACGGGATGATTTTAAAAGACATAGTATTTTGATGGTTTTCAAAGAGTTGTGTTCTTGAAAAAAGAGGGTTACAGTACTTTCTTTTTATTTTTTATTTTTTATTTTTTTTTAAAAAAAAAGGGTTACTATACCATTGAAAGTCGGTATGCGTGCAAATAGATTGTTTCTACACTAAATCGTTTTATTACTGCCCCTCCTCTTCTATTATATTCTCCATTTAAGCATGAATTCAAGAGCTCATTGCCTCTCCTCACAAACAAAGCAAGAAGGAAATATTACTAAAACATTACACACCCCAAGATCCCATCTTTTCCTCTACATCAATCTTTCTCAAAAATTAACTAATATTCTTTTGGTCCCAGAGATTCAGCAAAATTACTCCCGTGCCCCTTCCCCTTTCTACAACATCTATCTATCAACTAGCAAGGATTGAAATTGCTTCAGATAGTATCAAATCAAGGGCATATATTATAGCTTAAGGCAAGATTTTGGCGAATCTCAGAGCAATAAGGGAGGCGGCTTAGAGCCAAACGAGGGAACTTCATCTACCAGAATCTTAAATTCTTAAAGAAAACAACTCCAACAAAATTAGAGTAGAATACATTTCATCCACTGGAAGTCAATTCAGATATTAAGACAAAAAGGGCATAAGTTTACTGATTGGAGACCAAAAAGAGCCACAAGGGACATTTCTACAGCTAGAATATGTAATAGCAACAAAAGCATGTCTACCTATAAATCAACTGTCCGCCTCCATGTCACTGTGGGTTTGAAAAGCTATTCGGCATCTTCAGTTTTCGACTTCTTCTTCTTTTTCTTCTTACCATCTTCTGCAGCTACGTGATCCTCCTTATTTTCATCCTTGCTCTTCTTTTTCTTCTTCTTCTTGCCCGATTCTTCCTCGCCATTTACTCCATTTGTGTGCTGCTGCTGCTGCTGCTGCTCCTCTAGTTCCCGTTCCAACTTTCGCTTCTCCTTCTTTTTCTTCTTTTCTGATTTCACATCGTCGGTGTCACCATTTGCAGTAGCACTTGGCCTGTCCTCAAGTTCACCGTTTGCATTAGCTTTTGATTTCTTTTTCTTGCTCTTTTTCCCCGAAGCGTCATTTGGCTCTTCTATGTCCATGTCAGTTGCTGTCAAGACATCAACCAAACGGAATAAAATATAAAGGGAGGCAAATATGATGGAAACAGAACTCCAGCATCTTGCAGAAATAATAGAAGTCAGCTTGGAAGAGTGAGAAATATAGTGAAATAGCCACACTAAGTGCCATAACCCAATCAAATGCAACCATTTTCATGGCATATATCACCAACATAACATTTCAAGTACCTTTGCTATCGGCACTTTCAATTGCAGCTTTCATAACATCAATGTTTTTACGAGGTGCTATTCCCTTGTCATAAAAGTCAAGGCGCTCTTCAACTTGCTCACGAAGTTTCTCACCAAAGGTTGTGGTACTCGTCTCTGAATTTGGAATACAAAATTATAAATCAGATCAGCAACTGCTAACTATAATTTTTTAATAGAAAAAGCCAATTTTATTATAAAGAAAACCATACAAAGGGTGGCTACATAACATTACCTGCAAAGCAATCAATACGTGATGCAATAGAGCACTTGTTCGCAAGGTAACGAGCCATACGGCCTTTATTGCGTGCAGATGCTCGCCCAATGAAAGATGAATGAAAGATGAGACCATATTTAGGCGTGTTTCCTTTTGTTTTCAAAGCCCTGAATAGAAAAAATATGAAGGTATTAGATCTGGTTTCAATAACACAGATTTCCATGGTAATAGTACTTTCGTTGCAAGAATATACTTTAAATAGTGTTGAAGAATTAAGTGGTTATGAGCTGGATTTAGCTTTAAGTAGAAAACATTTCTAAATTTGAACCCATGGAAATCAGTATCTTTGAGAGGAAACAATTTTTAATATTTTGAAACGGATGCAAAATATCATAAATTGATGCAGGATCACAGAAAAAAAAACGTCATCCTGTCAACAAAATACAACAGATACAAACCTGAAGAGTGCTTTCTCTGCCCCAAGTATCTGAAGGGTGGAAGAAGGGCACTTGGCCAAATTTGTTAGACTACCAGCATGGGAAATTAGACGGGCCCCAACAACTTCACCAATCAAAGAGGCCAAATTGGGTGCAATATCATTCATTTTAGCCACTAGATAATCAAAAAGTTTTTTCCTGTATTCAGATAGATCCATTACCCTCTGTGCGAATTGCTGGACATTAATCAAGTCAATAGGAGACAAATCCTGGCCTGTAACATAGTTATTAAATTAGGTGATTAAACGAGTAAGAAATTATTTTTAAAAAAAAAGGACAAGTCAGAGATCTACCCATGGAGGCTTTGGCTGCTTCAACAATCTCCTTTGCTTTATCCTCGTCACCAATTATGTCAGTTAAGCCAGGGATTTTGTCTTCTGCCAGCTTTGATTTGTCCTCAATAAATTTAGCAACTTTGGCATAAAGATAATTGTCACTGACAATCTTCACCAGCTCAGGGAAGTGCCATGAGTACCACTCTCTGCATAAAGTAAACATGAGAAAATTAATTAAAAACACTCGTGATTTTCTAAAGAAAATAAAACTTCTAAATCTATAAATAAGCATCCACAACACCATCTCCATCTTAAAAAATGATAAAAGCAGTAACCCACTTCTTTCAAAATTGTAAAGTTCGTCAAAAACTCATGCTTTTTTTTGCAATCAAATACCTGACTCTCATGGAGAAGGAATTAATGTCCTTGTCGAGAGTGTCAAGGAGGAAGATTGCTTGAATGACCATGTTATCAACACGGTTAACATTGAACTTGACCTTGGCTCGACTGTAACTGTGCCCTAGACCAAGTTGGGCTTTCTCCAAATCTCCTGACTGTAGATACAAAAAATATTAACATGGATAACAGTAGTTTGTAAGAATGTAACATATCTGAGAAACTATTGATACTACTAAAAGCAAAAGTGGAAAATGAAGAACAGGCTAACCTTCAGATCCTTGATAAATTTGTCAAAGTGTAGCCGCACACCCCGAAGCAGCTCCAGAACAAACTCATTACTCTGACATGGGATTTTAGTCTCTTCAAAGATGTTTGACCCAATCTTGGGTTCAGCTAGTCCCAAAACGAACTTGGCCTTTTTACCCTCCTTAACTTTTGGAAGATTAATTTCCAGGAAACTCCTCAACTCATCAGTCATGAGCCCTGACATTTATCAATAGGTTAATTGCAACAGAACTTCAAGATCCAAACAGCAGGATCGTAAAATATTGGATAAACCAAGAACCATTGAATTCCAGGAAACAACTCAAACTAACAAGAAGCTTATGATTGCTATTGCATTTCCACCATTAGCTTAGTCACAAGGTTAGGTTGCTCAATAATGCTGCGAGAAATACAGTTTATAAATCTTTTACAGTCATTTTATAAACATGTACAAAACATCGTCTGAAACGTGGAAATGCGAGTTGCAAAACCCCTGACACAACCGGATCGAAATTTCAAACATGACATGCCAGAACAAGAAAACTAATAAGAGAATAACAAAATTGTGGGCTAACATACACAAGAAACATCACATTGCTATCAGGTAGAACACGGAAATACACCACAGTTAGCTTCAAACGAATAGCAGAAGAAACAGGCAAGTCGTGTCCTAAAAAATGAGCCAAAACAACAACGGATGATGCTAGAAAGTAACTACTCAACGAACTAAAGAAAGATTTCCCGAGTTCAGATGGTGAAAAATGTGCAAATCTTCCTACCGAGATCCCTGAAACAACTGATAGTCAAATGATTGCATAGAAGATGGAGTTCAGGAGTGAACTACCTTCCGACACCGAGTTGCACTGCTTGAGTGCATCGAGAGCCGACTCGAAGGGATGGAAAGCAGCAAGCTTCACGACCTTGCCGAAGCGGTTGAGGTCGGAGACAGAGCTCCGAACGGCTTCAGTGTTCTGCCCAATTTCGTCGAGGCCATGGGCGTGAAACAGAGCATAACCAGAAGCAGATTCATACAGAAGATACGTCGAAGTCATGGGACCAAAACCAGAGAGAAACTATGACGGAAGCGTTCTCAGTTTCTCTTCTATGGCTTTGAAAGGCGAGCGGTTGCGGGAAAAGGTTTTAGGTTTTCGGGGGTTTTGGGACTGCCTCGCCTATATATTTCACGGCTGGAAGTGACGTTGCCCCCGTCCCACTGTTACCGCCCGGTGGTACCCTCTGGGCCGATACAGATCACAAAGCCCATTATAGGAGATGGGCTTCTATAGCCCAAACTAATCTAAGGGATGACATGGGCTTTTGAGTAAATCGGAGGCAAAGCCCACTATCTGATAAATGGTGAAATTTTCTTCTTCTTCTTCTTCTTTTTTTTTTTTAAGATAAACAGAAAAACTAGCCTTCAGAAACCAGCCGACACTTTGTGAAGCCACAGAGGAAAATTAGAATCCCACAAAACTGACGAATGGAAAAGTAAAAGGAATTTTTGCCAAAAGGTCAGCCTAATTCAAATCTCTTTTTACACGGCTAAATCTTGTCTTCTTGAAACCTTGTGAGGCGCATCAGGAGCCTCTTCATCTCAGTAATATTCATTTCACGAGTCGTTTGCCCTCTCAGAAGATTAATTACCTCCAAACAATCGTGTTAGATATCCATTATATGAATTAAATTTACCCAACCTATCAATTTAAACTTTTTGGTTGAATGGTACTTTATTCATCCTTTAAGATAATATCAAAGTGGGATGTCTTGTGTTCGAATTGATGCATTGTTGTTTCCTCCCCATCTATTATAGGAGGGAGTACAAAAATTACTAGATTATTCCTTGTATATACATCGTTAATTAAAAGAAGTCCAGGTCTCAAGAAATGAATATGTATACGGTTAAGTACATAGGCATTAGGTAGTCTATTTTGTTTTATTTTTCAGATTATAAGAATATTGAATGATTTTTTCTCCAAACAAAAAAAGGAACGGTGAATGATTTAACTTCTCATAACATTATTTTGTGATTTTACCATTTAAAAATGCAAGTTGATATACCAATTCATTGATGGACAATAGTTGTAATTTACCATCTCCAAATCAATTAATGTGATTAAAAAACAATGTAGTATATTTTTTAAAAAAATAATTGTAGATAACAAGAGATATTATTTGACGATACATGATTAATATATCATTTACTCAATCCAAAATTACTATAGACTATAATTCTAAGCAAGAGCGTGAATTTACTGAGGCGTTCCAATATTGTTATACATTTATTGTTTGTTTTAGGTAAAAATATATTTTTCTACCCCTATTGTCAGGGGTATTGGGTATTATTATTTGCAAATTTTATCTATACAGTAAATAATATTACTTTTAATTACATCTATCCTTATGTTTTATTTATATCTTGAAAATGTTGACATGCATGACTCTCACCTGATCTCATTATATACTTTTTGTTATTTAACTTAATGAAGTTAATAGGCATAAATAAGTGACTTGTTATCAACTACACAAATAACTAATGAATTGAAATCTCAACATCAAAACAAATGTACGTGAGAAAGAGAGACCATATGTTCCCATGAAATGTGTGGAGAGCAAGCCCATAAAGTATGAATTAAAGTGGATATCGTCAAAAAATTGAGAACAACATTCAAATATTTTCCAATAAAAATATCACTTTCTGCAAATACGTCAATATTTCGAATATTTATCAAATCTCATATATTATTGTATTGGAGATTTTTTCATATAACTCACCAGGTATATTTTCAAATATAACCCATGTTAATATATACACTTGACGAGAACATGTTATCAACTACCATAAATAATTGTCAAAGCGAGCATAGCTACACAATAAATGACATATATCTCAAACCAAGAGATCGTGAGTTCGATCTCCACCCCTACATGTTGTAAAAAAAACTAACGAAAATAATTAATCTATTAACGAATAAGTCCAATAATATTATATGTGGTTTTAAAATTGGGCCATACCACCCACCGTTGATAAGTGTATGGAAGAGAGAGTCCACATTTGCTTGCAAATGTGTGGAGGATTTCGAACCTGTGTAGTTGTGAAGAAAGTTGATATTATCACGAGAAACTTTCTATGATTTTTCAAAATAAATGTAGTTACCAGCAAAACTTCAATTTTTCGAATCTTGATCAAAACTTAAAATTCTGTTAGTGCATATAATTAACTTATGAAAAAACAGGTAGGATTAAATACCTCCATTCGTCAACTCGTTTTCATTTCAAATTAGTACACAATATCTTAGTATGAATGTTTTCTCTTAATAATGCAATTTGAAAAAATAAAATTAAAAATAACAAAACGAACATCCATCCTAAATCATTTAAATATTTATTAAAAAGAACAGCTCCTCATTTTAAATCCAGAAGTAAATGATTTATTTTTTAAAAACAAGCAGAAAAAATAAAATTTAAAATAAATAAATAAATACTTGCAATTTGGAAACCGAATCCACAACTTGCGGCTGCGCTGAACTATATAATTTAATTTATCCGTTGAAAATGAATGGACTGGTAATTTTGCCCGCTTCATTACATTTTTTTTTAGATATTATAAAGTTCTTATTAGTCAACAAATTCTCCACAATATTGCTGTATAAAAATAGATAAATACGGGCCATCTTTGCTGACTGCCCCTCGTTTCCAAATTTTTTTCACTAAGCCGTCTTATATCTTTTATCTTTTCTTAATTTAAACACGTCTAAATTCATTGCCTAAAAAGAGATTATGTCAAAATGTTGGTCTTTCTTTTAGATATTACACTAAATAGAATATAATTTAAACCAACCTCCCATTAATTTATTAGAGAAAAAAAGTACTTAGTGCATGACTACTTAGCTCAACTCAAATCAACATCAAATGAAAATATTTAAACATTCTCATATCAAGCACTATGAGTCTAATATTATATATGTAGTTTTTTTTAACTATAATTCAACATCGGTAGATTTGAATCTAAAATATTTTAAATAAATTAATGATATTTTAACAGATTGAAATATGTTTATGTATATTTTGTTTAATCATTTTATTGTCTCCTATAAAATCGAGATGGAGATGGCTCTACTGCATAGAGGATGAAGGAAAATTCCTACAAACAAAAGGGCATAAAAAGAAACAGTTTAGTAAGGTTGTTCTTCTTGGAAATGAAGATTGTTAGCTAAAGTTCTAAGAGTTCAAGGAGGGATGTAATTACACAAATTTCGAAGAAGTGATTTCTCTCTGTATGTACTATTACACTAATGAAAACTGAAAATGATATTTCTCGTTAATTGAATAGATATAATTATATTCCTCTATTCATAAACATAAAATAAACTAAACATATGAAATGATATACTTACTGGTTAAGGTGTTCACAACTTCATTAGAGTTTCGCATGGTGAAAGTGAATCGTTTGATTGCGTTCTATTTCTAATTTTTCTTTTATTTCATCGATTATCAACTGTGTTTCATTTTCGAAAATCTCCTCGGCAAACAAGTTTCCAAACTACTCTAGTTTTTCCAAGTTCTTCAACCCACTCTAGTTACTTGAGGTTGTTGATATATAAGTTGAGGGTTTGGTGAATTATTTGATATATGAGTAGGATATGCATATTATTGTGTTCAAATGAATGGATTTTCCACATAGTCAAACCCGAACATAATAATTTTGCCAGGACATTAATCACTTTTTTGTAGGCCAAATATCCCTCATTTTTTTTTATAATTTTATATATTTTTTAAATAAAAATAAATAAAATTAATATGAATTATGTTGGTGTAATATTCTAATTGATGTGACGGGTTGACTCTAATGATATGAGATGCGAGTTCATGATATGAGATGGGAGTTCAATAAGCCAAGGTGATCATGAAATGCAAGAATCTTATGTTAATACTGAGTCTAAGCTGGTGTGTCGAGCCAAACTGAGTAAATGTGTGTTATTTTTGTATATTTTTGTGAGGAATGAGCCTCGCTTTTTGTAGGAGAGCATTGATAAATATTTTTCTTATAATTATTGAACTCTAATGTCGAAGAGGTTTTAATTCGGCGTCATCTGTGTTGTTAGGTCGATATATCGAGTTAAGCTTCTATTAGTCGGTCAAAAGTAACTTTTCCTACCTCATTTGATCCTTGGTATGTGGACACATGTTTTTTTTTTTTTTTGGTAAAAGAGTCACGTGGAACGCTAAACTTCACCCCTATCAAATTCAAATTTTTGATAATTTATATATATTAATCGTGAATAAAATCAATTTAACCTATCAAAACAAACCAGTTTTTAGAGGGTGAATCACGTTATCTCCTTCATCATTATAAAACCTTGATTTTTTTTCCTATTTAAGTCAACTATGAAGTAAAATATCAACACAAAATGGTCCATTGTATATATCACTTTAATTTTCTACGAATAATTGAAAGCAATGAATATATTCATCATGCATATCTTCAAAATGGAGGTACCAGTATTCTTATATAACAATATTTTTCTACAAAATGCACCAATATTCTTATCAAACGATATTTAATTTTTCTTCTCAAACATCAATCTAAAATATATATTTATACACACCATCATCGATTTCATTGGTCTATGCATATATTTGAGATTCTCATTTCAAAAATGCTCAAATATAAATATCACACAGTTCCTTCACTAACTAAAATCACAGTCACCTTTTGAAGTTAGGGAGGCAACAAAAATAAAAAGTAGCAATTTTATATTCATAGTAGTTGACATAAAATATTAAATTAAAATAAAGAAAATCATATAAAGATTTATAAATTAATCAAAGACTCAACCTTGTAAGAAAAAATAGTTATTATAGTTCAAATTTAAAAAAGCTGGATATATGAATCCATAAATGAAAATTATTACAACGAATTAAAAGCATCACTTTCTTGAAAATGAATCCCATTATTTACTCCCGCACAAAAAACAAAGATTATTTTTGTTATTTATGGTCAAATATTAAAAAAAAAAACAAAAAGATTCCCTATATAGCACCTTATCACGTTGTTTTTCTTGCTATATTAATTGGACTATAAAAAGTTACATACTATTTTTTCAACGAATGATTGAAAGCAACAAATATATTCAATCTGCAGTATCTTTGAAATTAATAAATCAATATTCTCACATGACAATTTATTTTTTGTTCTACAAAATATAACAAACACTGTTGTCGAACAATATTTAATGTATTTATTCATACCACCACCAATTTTATTTATATATCGTATGGATTTGAGATTCTCAACTCATAGATGCCCCAATATAAACAATCACGTAATTCCTTTCCAACTATAACTACCAGCAGAGAGACAACAAAAGCGAAAGTAGTAATATTATATTAATTAATAGTAGACCTAAAATGTAAAATAAAATTAAACAAAAACACAGAAACATAAAGATATATAGATTAAAAAGTAATCACACGAAATTAGATGCAGATTACATATTAGCTGGTGGGGAAAAAAAATAGAATTCAAAGTTTTTGGTCAAAAAAGGCAAAATACAAGGGTCACTTTAAAAAATGGAGGAAGAAAAAGTTGAGAAGGTATCTGCAGCTGCAGCCAATGGTACAGAGCGATGGTGGCGATTGATTCTGTCCGACTCAGCACGATGCAAATTGCGGACGGAAATTTGGTGGAATGGTCCACAGCCGGGCGGCAGCAAAAACCCACGAAATTTAATAATATAAATAATAATAATAATTATTATTATTTATTTTCCTTCCTTCTTCCCTATTCGACAGACCATTTTAATTATTTTTTTATAATGCAAAACTACGACGACCACTCCACCTTTTTTTGTATTTTCCCTTTTTTTTGTCACTTTCAGTTCTATCAAAATTATTAATTTGAAAAATAAAATAAAATTGGCCTTCCACCGTGGCACCTAGGGTTAATTGTTTAATAGCTGGCAACCGCATTAGCTGTTCAAGTGTTCCTGCATTCTGTTCTTCCATTGTGGTGCCCAATTGCCATTTCTGTGGACCTACATTTGACTGTGGGCTTACGGGGACTTTTTTTTCCCATTTTTTTACATATTAAATAACAAAAAAAGGTGGGCCGACCTGAAATTTTTGGGTTCAAATTTTCTCTCCATTCATGTATTTGCAACTAAATTATAGTGGAGTTAAGAGTAGAAGAAATTTATAGTGGAGTAGTAAAATGCTCAAATATAAGAATAAACGTTTACGACAAAAATAGTATAATAGTCGTAAATTGACGTTGAAGGATAAAAGTTAGGGAAGAAAACTAATGAAATAGATCTCTCAATAATCTTGCTTGTATTAACAGGTACCTAGCTCTAGAAAAAAGAGAAACGAATAATGTTGCGTGGGTTAGTACCGTACTCATGTGGTGTTAATAGCTAACAAAACATCTAATTTCTTACTTTCTTGTTTCCAATTTATAGTTGTGTGTGACGGGGATAAAAATCAATTCTATTGCCTACGGTTTATAGTATAATTTTGAACATTTTAATTTATTAAAAACTAATTTCCACTTCAATCTTCCAGCTTTTAAGAAGAAATAATTGAAATAAAATGATTTACAAATGCATTTACACTTATTTAGATGTTTTTTAAATTAGGAAAAAAAAAAACTACCAAGCACATTTGTTGTTTTACTCTAAAAAAATATTTTATACAGATATTATGGAATGGCTAACCTATAAAAAATGGAGAGAAGAGAATTAAAACGGTTCTCCATAGTTAATATTCAAAATATTATTATCATCAACAAAAAAAGAAGATTGATTTAAAATTTTACAGATTCCTTACCAAACCTGACAATCATTTCCAGGAAAAATGATTCTTTTATGGAGGAGGAGAAAAATGTCAGTTCACACATATTTTACACGGAAAGACGTTTAAAAGCTGAACTTCCTTATTTCAATCAACCTTTTCAAAACCAATGTGAAATTCAAAAACCAAGAAGCAAGAACGAAGTTTGCGAAATCCGAAATATAATTTAAAAATAAACAATTCCTGCCCAAATCAAATGGAATAATCAAAGAAATGCTCGTGGTCAAATCAAATTAAGACAACGTGATTCCGTTTACGACAAAACCCGTAATCTATGTTACCAAATATTATAATCTCAAGTTAATAATTCCGAAGAAAAAAATGCGATTAATGTAAAATCACATCGCCACGTGTTCTTTTTAGTTTCTACTATGCAATTAAAGCATTAAACTTTTCAAGGCCTGAACTGAATCTAGTCAAGTAATTCTTTTTTGTTTTAGCTTTTTGGCCGCAAAATAACAAAGAAAAGGGCGTGGAGATTCGGAATCCGAATTAAATTAGGACACAGAGGGCACAGTGCAGTACAGTAACAATTCAGCAGCCAAGTTGAGTGGTGACCCAAATCTAGCCTTGCTTTTTGAAAAATATCATAAAGCATTGGAAAGCAATAGCAGACCACGGTAATTATTTGACAATTGTCATTCATTTCCTTACGGTGAAAATACGAAAGATTCTTCTTTCAACTGCGGGGGCACCAATTAAACATTGACAATAACTAAACTCAAACTGGGTTACAAATTTTTGATTAAAAGTTAAAACTAGCCACACCCAAGCCACGCAAATTACCATGTCCCAGCCGTTTTATTCAGTCTTGCAGTTGAAGAAATTAACTGCTTTTCTCAGATTCCTTGTTCAAGCATGGCTCGGACTCTGGTTGGGAGGCCGTAGAGATGGATGAATCCAGCAGCATCAGCTTGGTCGTACACTTCCCCATTCTCAAATGAAGAGATGTCTTGCCTGTAGAGGCTGTTTGGGCTCTTGCGCCCGGTCACGGTCACCGAGCCCTTGTACAGTTTGAGTGTGACTGTCCCAGTGGTTGTTGCGGTTATCTTCTCCATGAATCCGTCCATTGCTTCACGGAGTGGGTCGAACCATCGCCCTGCATACACCAGCTCGGCATATTTGAGGGCGAGTGAGTCCTTGACTTGTATGGTCTCTCGGTCGAGCGTTAAGGACTCAAGCTCGCGTGCAGCAGTGAATAGGATGGTTCCTCCGGGAGTTTCGTACACGCCTCGGCTTTTCATGCCAACGAGGCGATTCTCGACCATGTCAACTCGGCCTATGCCGTGTTTCCCGCCGACCTCGTTAAGCTTGTCGAGAAGAGAAGCTGGTTCAAGCTCTTTCCCATTGACAGCAACAGGAAGTCCCGAGACAAAATCAATCTCAACATATCTGCAGTAAACAACAAACACTTAAGAATTGAGCTGCAGAAATGCATAGGAAATGAATGAAGGAAAACAGAGGAAATTTACTCGGGTTGGTTCGGCGCATCCTCGGGATCAACGGACAGCATATACATGTCCTTCTTTGGCTCATTTGCTGGATCTTCCAAAACGTCACCCTTAAGTCACATGAAATACAGAGATGAATACAGCACACAAGTCTCAAACCAGAAAAGCCAGGTCAGGGCTGGTAGAATGCAGTCAGTTAAAACTCACGCCTACCACTCGTAAAAGCCAAAAGAAAATGATCACAATCGTACAACAATTAAATTTCAGCACCAAAACTACAGCTTAATTTAATCTGTAGTAAGAAACAATACACTTCAAGCAGACAATTACCTCGTGACTTAGGTGCCAGATGTTCCGGTCTCGACTGTATATCGATTTCTTCGTGACGGGGACGGGCACGTTGTGCTTCTTGGCATATTCAATGGCATCTTCTCTGCCAGTAATATCCCATTCTCTCCAAGGAGCAACAACACGTAGTTTGGGGTTCAGAGCAAAGAATGTGAGTTCAAACCGTACCTGCACGGAAAAAGCAAAAAATGATGAGATTCTCTTTAGGAATATTCAAAGAAAATCAAAAAGCTATGGCAATCAAAGCAGACCTGATCATTTCCTTTCCCTGTGCAACCATGAGCAACAGCATCAGCTCCAACTTCTTTGGCAACATCCACCATGGCCTACAAAAAAACATCACCATAACCCCTATTATTAACTCTTCAAGACGCGGACTAAAGAGACCAACCAAGTCAAATATTACTAAAAGAATACAGCTGCTGACCCAGAGAAAGGGGCTAGTAAATTTTCAAAACTATTGGTCTCTGTACTGCTAAGAGCTTCAATAGAAGAGATAACAAGTAAGATCTAACCTTGGCAATAACAGGGCGGGCCATGGAGGTTCCAAGCAAGTATTTCCTCTCATAAATTGCACCAGCTCGCAAGCAAGGGAACACGTAGTCTTTCACGAATTCATCCCTCAGGTCTTTCACCACAAGTTGACAGGCTCCACTTGCCTTCGCCTTTGCTTCCAGACCATCCAATTCCATCACTCCCTGCATAAATTTTGCATTCTTAATAAGCCAACAAAGTGGGACCAAATATTCAAATCTACAGAAAGAATAAACCAATTATGTCGCCATGGATGCAGAGAGATCAAAAAACGTACTTGCCCAACATCAGCAGTGAAGCAAACCACCTCACACCCATATTTCTCCCTACAGGGAAAAAGATAAAAATGTCAAAATAACATAATATCGTCATGAGGATTTTAAATTGGGAAGGGGACTATATGCATATGCATGTAGCAGAGCTGTGGAAAACAAATGGGTCAGAGATACAAAAATTATGGCCATCCATCACAGTACTTGAGTGTCTATGGAAAAAATAAATTAGAACACCAACCTCAACCATGGAACGATAACCGAAGTGTCCAATCCACCGCTATAAGCTAAAACAACTTTGTTCAACCTAGCACGCGGCACACCGATGGTACACGCACCATGAGCTTCTCCCATCTCTCCAATAACGTCAAAGAATGCTCGAATTGCTGCAGTTGGAAGGGAAATCAGCAATTTATGGTTAGGTCTATTAAAAACACGATGATCAAATCAAATCAAACCAAATCAATTCGCGTTCGTGTGAAAGAACAGAACCATCTCAAATGAAACAGCCGTTTTAATTTGTTTGCTTCAATATGTGCGTAAGAAACGGCGAATTGTTATCAAATCCAGAGAGAAGAAAGGAAATCAGAAGATAATTTCAAGACGAAACCAAAGGCAGCATCGAGGGTGGGGGAAATTTTGAATTCAACGAGGTCATTTTTTGAATCAAAATGCGAAAATTAGCCAAAGCAGAAGTGTTGCGTACCGGATTAAAAGAGCAGAGAAAGAGAGAGAAGCTTAGGCCAAAGCAGCGGCGGAGGAGTCAGGATTCTCGCTCGAGCTCTCGAAAAGAGCAGACTATGAGCAAGTTACAATTTCCGACTCATGGGTTTCCGGCTGCATGACGGGCCCTTTTATCGACGAAAAATAATTTCTTTTTTCTTTTTCTTTTTTCCTTTGAAACAAAATTATTAAATTAAATAACTAATTTTGTATCAAATAAATCCATAAATTTTGAAAATATTCCTGAACTTTATAATTTCAGAAAAAAAAATTCAATTTTGATATTGTTTATGTAAGGATATGCACAACAGTATATTTCCGACTGTAGCTCGAACTCGGAACCCGGACTGATCTGAATACCTGTGGCGGACCTGCACAAAAAGGTGAGCACTCCGACGATCAAGTCAGTACAGGTCGGATTCTTAGTTTAGTTCGAGGTCAGAAATCATCGTACCTGATCGTGGAGTGAGGTCCTCTACTTATGGGTGGTAGTCCCGCCAATCTCGCGACGGTTACACCCGGTAATCTCGGGACCATCGGTTACACCCGGTAATCTCGGGACCCTCAGTTACACCCGATAATCACGCCGCTGACAGCAGCTCACATCGGCCCCTACCGAGCTTCCCGGTAGGTCGGACCTTGGCCAGGTTCACCTCGGCCCTCACACTTAGCATCCATCAACGCTAACGGCGGTGATCTCGGCAGTCCGAGCTGGGCATGACTCATAAGTCGTCTTGGAGAACCAATAGGAGTCCTCCACGTGTCCAGGGTATTCTTCCCCCAAACAGATATCTAATAATTTTATAAATTAAGAATATGTTGAACACAAAATTAAAAGTTAAAAGACTTATCATGCATTTTTAATATTTATGGACTTTTTTTAGTACAATAATATTTGAGGGTAGAGATGTAGATGGAGGTTCAGACTCGACATCTTTTGATAGGAGATATATATCTTAACCAATTGAACTATGATTAGTAAAGTTTATGAACTTATTCGACACATTAAATACAAATACGAAATTTGTAATTCAACGAAACAGAGCACCATTCTCCATAAAATTTATAATGCAATGGAAAAATTAATATAATAACATCTAAGGTAAAGATTAGAATTTTTAATCTTTTTTATCCAAAATATATATAGTTTAATTATTTAGCATTAAAGTTAAAAATTGTGCGGGGAGATTTTCGAAAAGGCTCCGGAAGTTTGGGCAAACCATGAACATGCAGCCACCAAAAGGAAAAATAAAAAAAAAAGGGAAACAAATTAAAGATATCGGGAGAAATATTCCGCACGTGAAATTGCTATCGGTTCCACCAAAGAGGGGGGAATCTGGAAAAAGTAAATTTGTAGGGTCAAAATAAATTTGCGCCTTCCAAGTTTTAATTGAACGGTCGATGCGTGTTTCACCATTTTTTAAAAAGAGAGACCAAATAAAGAGAAAACTACAAATATTTCTCAGTTCACGATCTTCTGTCTCCTTCACTGCCCTGGACTGCAACTTGCATTGAATAGGGTTTTTCTTTTTCCTTGAGAGTGTTTCGTTTCTCTCAAATAAATTTTGATTGATCTTACGATGCAACTTGCATTTGAATAGGGTTTGATATTTACATTATAGTCTAAATTCTGAATTCGATAATATAATCGAGTGAGTTTGAGACTCTCTCATATCTCTACAATAGTATGCTATTGTCCGTTTTGGGCTTAGCTCTCACGCCTTTGTTTTTTATTTCACCAAAAAGACCTCATAGAGATAATTGTCCTATCTTATATTAGTTATGATCATCTGTTTCTCTAGTCAATGTGAGACTTTGTTTGTAATCACCTTATAAATCGATAATACAAACAACATCATGCTAGGGAAGAGAGTGATCATTGGTATATAAGAGATGAAGATTATTTATTGATATGAAAATTTTTAGGTGAAACAAAAAATAAAGTCATAAAATCTATACCTAAAGTGAATAATATTATATCATTGTAGAGATACGTAGATAATCGTGTATAGAGTTTATAGAACTGCTTATGTATTAGTCTCTTTGCTTTATCGATCTGGGTGAAGGTCCCTCATGGATCGAAGATTGGCCATAAAAGTCCGTTGTTTTACGAGACCATTCTTCACATTTCTGCCCCTTAGTTCCTCTTCTTGTTTTTTTTTTTCATTTATTAAAAAAGAAAAAGGGATCTCGTAGGAAGCCGGAAGACAGTGGTCCATTTTCTCCTCTGCTAACGAAATAATTCAATAATTCTGACTTCCTTTGAAAATTTTAAGTCCACTCGTTTAATTTTTTTAAGATTCTTTAATGTATAGTTAATTATTTGTACAAATGGCTAAATCAAAAGAACAAAAAAAAAAATCAAATATTCTCGATCGGATATTTCAAAATCATTTTGTTTTTAAGTAAAGTGAATACAAATGGCAAAATATAATAACAGAAAAAAATGATAAATTAATTATTCTCGGCCGCACATTTTGGTAACAGGAAGTAGAACAAAAATCTAGTTGGAACTTGGAATAAGGATGTAAAATAATTAATAATCACTAGCTTTGTTTGAAAATATTCTGAGTATATTATTGGTGGTTTGTAACTTAGGTATGTTACAAGTTGGAAAAATGTCACTTCTCACGATCACCTCAGGATTAGATTACAGTATTGACACTTACCTTCCTAAAAAAAATAATAATAAGACACTTATTAATTACCTGAGGTGTTGTTAAAAAAATAAATAAAATTACTTGAGGTGAAAAATTCAATCATATCTACCTCTACAGGTTAAGTTGAACAAAATATTGATGCGTTGGAGAGAGGAAATTATGGAAAAAAAAAAACTTGCATGCTTCAAAACTTTATCTTTTAATACCGTTAAATATTTGACAATTAAGAGAAAAACAAATGTAAAGATTAAAAAAAAATAATTAAATAACGAGTTGTCAAATATTTAGTGGTGTTAGAGAGAAACACAATTTTCTTTCAAACTATCAACAATAAATTGACTTAGTATTGCACCGCAGGCCAATTTCAAATTCCTCGACCCTTTTTTTTTCTCTTTTACTATGTAATTGGAGATTTGAGGATGATATTGAATATGTTTACATATTAATATTTGTTTATTGAGAAATTTGTACGAGATAAATACATCATCAAATTACAATGTGCTGTTGTAAAAAAGATCAAATATTATAATCTGACGTAAAAGTATACATTTATTATGTATTTATTATGAATATATAAAGAAAATTTTATCCCTAGATGTGAACTAAAGATATTTACTACTCAAAAGTATATAATTGACTATTACATTATTAATTCGAATATATGAATAAAAGATAATAATTTAGCGAGTGCCCAAATCTCGAGATTTTTCAATCTTTAATTCTATTCCAAATATAAAATTTTACAAGAAAACAACTTATTCAATTATTGTCATATATCGTTCAACTTAATAACTAGTGGATCATACCTTTTGTTTTTCTAATACAACAATATAAGAAGTGGCAATTCAAACTCACGATTTTTTATCAATGATAAATACCTTAACCAGTTTAACTAAGTTCAAGTTGACAATGACATATCAATTCTATTATTTATTTCCACGATTTCGTGCCGTGATAAAACAATAAAACAATGTCATTATAATCCTAAAATATTTTCCAAATCTCAAAACTTTAATGGTAAAATAGTAACTATATAATGTGCTAGTGTACAAACAACCGAAATATAAAACTAAAGTATAACGTGACATTATTCTTCAAAATATATATGTGTGTGGGGGGGGGGGGTACGACATTTTGTCCAATTTTCCTTTTTAAGCCTAACAAAATCTTAAATAAGTTGCAATTATTTTTACCATATTAAGAAGTTTTCTATCCATTATTCTAATTTTATGTTCCTTTTTTTTTGAGAATTTTTTATGTTCCACTTGTTGGGCTTACAAATTGGTTTCAGGCACTGTTACAAAAAGTAACCACGCAATAGCATTTAATACCACAGTTTTTAAAGAAAATTATTTAAACTTTCAACTTTCAAATATATATATATATATATAGACACACACACATATAGTCTTAAAATATATCGAAGGTGATTTTTCATCAACAACGAGTCAATATTTTATAAGTCGGAAGGATCTGAATCATCATAATAATACAGTTGGAAGAAGTTAAAGTACTACTTTGCTGCTTGGAACTTCTTAAATGTCGAGCCAACGTTTAAGTTATTGGTTGTTAAGAACTTCTTAAAGACTGAGCCGACCAATGGAGATTTGAACCGCTCATCCTCGTAAGGAACCCAACTGATGACTATTACGTTATTTGTCGTAAACTAACAACTATTTTTCCAATAAGACATCATGATTTGCACAACTTCATAATTGTTCCTTAACCACGGTTAGAAGGTCAACCTCTGTAAATAAAGAATTATGCATCATCATTCAAGTATCAAATTAAGTATACGTACTTAAGCATTCTTTTTGTGCAGGTTCCCTTATTCATTGGCTTTATCCAGGTTCGAGATATGGGAAGTTGGTCATGAATTGGCAATAGTTTTCTATTTTCTTATTCAAAAAGTGAGAGTAACAAATTTTGGTTGTAGAGGTATTGTTTTTTCTGTTCCCCTTTTTTTTTACGGAGACAACATAGTTGAATTTATCATATATATACATATATAACAAGTAATAAAATTTGGATATATATATATATATATATTTTAAATCCATTTAAAATAACATATTTCTATAATAGAATTGTATAAAAACGAATAAAAATTGCATGATAGTTTGACTCAAAATTGTAAGCAAATTACACAATTGTCTAATATATCGTGGATCCAAATATAGCTCGGGATAAATTATCATTCTTTATAGTTCGATCTCCCACCCCACAATTGTTAATCTAAAACGAAAAAAAGAAAAAAAAAAGTCATGAAATCTATTGTAATATAAAACCATAAACTTACCTTTTAAAATTTTAAATTTAAAACACAAAAACACCTCCACATCAAATATTGCTTTTGAAATTTTTACTTTTTACAGTAAAAAAATATTTTAAAAAAATAAATATGTCAAATATATAGTCACTTAATGCAGAATAAATTTAAAAATACGAAACAAAATTTAAATTGCATATCAAATCCCACATTAGTAATTTTTTTATCTACTTAAAATCAGAAGAAAAAAAAAAGGAGGAAAAAGGCGGAAGACAGGGAGGATATACAAAGTTTATGGCAAAAGGTTTATCCGAGAGGGACAGGGAGGGAATTCCAAACATGTTTTTGCAGCTCTGTTGAAATTCACACTCAAACAGCACTATGACCGCGCTGGGAAGTTTCTGAATCCACGTCCTTTGAATTTACCCCCCATTTAGGCCAAATGGATACTAAGTCAAATTGTACACGCAAACCCACACATATTTAACATTGAATGAATTATTTTCTTTTTTAAATTTTGTAGTATAGAAATTCAGTAACAACATATTTATGCTTCGGTCAAAATGCACTTTTAATTATTGAAATTTGAGTTTCATCTCTATTTTGGTCCCTAAAATTATAAAAAAAAAAGATGACACTTTTTAGTGTTAAAGTTGGGTTAGAGTTGTCTATTTATTTTAAAATTATAATTTTGTGAATAATATTATCTATGTGCATAACAATGTTAATTTATACTGGCCCTTAGATCACAATTTTTTTATTTATTTTTTTTTAGCACCTTCACTCACAACTTTTAAAATCAAGTTTGAAAGACAAATTTGATAACAATCTTTAAAATATTTTGCCAAATATGTGTTTGTTATTTGGGGCGAGATTGGAATGATGTTTATAATGATGAAAAGTAAAAATACCACTTCAAAAATCATTCAAAACTCGATAATTCACTCCACTGGAAATCCAATGCCATCCACAAAGGAAAATACTTAACTCTCGGAGGAATCTTGTCCTTACCACCATTAAATATTTGACAAGTCGTTATTTTTCTAAAACATTTTTTGTTTTCACATTTCTTTCTCTTAATTGTCAGATATTTAATGGTGGTAAAAACAAGATTACTTCATATTTTCCATCAACAAAACATTTTTAAACCAAAATGAAACACATTTTATTAAACAAAATGATTTTTTAATTTTACATAATTATCCACTTGTCTATGTGCTATTCAGGAGGAGCTTCCTCCTGGATCTTCCCGAAAAGTTTTTTCCCATTTTAAAGTTCTTGTGGCTGAATTATTTTCTAAAACTTATATGCTACATTTTCCACTGTTCACCAATCTACTACTCCTTAAACATTTTTTCAAATCACACCAGTTTGAGAGGTTTCCAAGTAATTTTAATCTACATCAATCAATCAATAATTAAAAGTAGAAAATTAATAATATCTTTTAAAAACACTTTTCATTACACAAAACATTTTTAAAAATTAAAAAATATACATCAGTTTGATGAGCCGGTTCGTAGCCGAACTGAAATCCACAACGAAGTTCTTATAAAGTTAAAATCCAAAAGGCAAATTTGCCTTTTGGATTTGGTGTTTTGCCCAGATTACGTTACTTACCATTTCCTAATCTTTCCTCTTCATTCTGCATTATTTGCTTCAGCAACTGAGTACATCACAGATCTGGAGCGAAAAAACCCGCGTCAGTAAAGAAACAATGCATTTAGACATAGAAAATAGAATTCCAATCCATCATATGAATATGAACAAACGCTTATATGAATAGGAAGTGAACAGAAAAGGAAAAAAAAAAAAAGGTTCGGCATCTGATTTATTAGACATCGTTTCAATTTTGGCGAAGACAACAGATCGATCGCGCAGTGAATGAAGACGAATAGGAAACAATAGTCGATAAACTAGTTAAAGATTTTCTGAAACTAAAAGCATGCAAAAAAACTGAGAAGAATGGATTCAAGTGAGATGAACGTCAAGATGAGAGAATACCAGTCGGCCAACTGCTGAGAGCGGGAAGTTTGAAGGAGGACAGGATCCTTAGGGCGAGGAGCGCGCAATGCCATAGCTCGTTTATATACGAGCCATTTTGTGCCTGTGTGTGGCCCAATACGATAAATGTGCACGTTCATTTGTGGAGCCCATATCTTGATTGGGCCGCTCAGGTCCAGAAGAGGATATCAACCGAAATACACCATTTAGATATGATATTTTTTGTAGCGAATAATATAATTATGATGCCTCGATTAACTTCGATTTCAAGTTTTTTGTATTTTTAGTTATTAAAAATGTTATTATAAATGTAGTATTTTTTTATCACTATTTTATTTTCTGTATTATCTACTGTAAAATTTATACAAAGGAACAAATAATGTTTTAAATACTTTATATGAGTCCATTCATTCAACTTCGACTTGAAGATAATATAGACAAACATCAATAAAACAATTTTAGAAATTTGCAAGTGAAACTAAAGAGACAAGAAGCGAGAAAGGAGTAAAATCCCAACAAGAAAAATAGAGGGAAACATCAAATAGAGAGGCACAAACCTCTTGAGGAGAAATTGTAGTTAAAGTGTCACTAGTCCAACAACCTTGACAATAGCATGCACAAACATAATTAGTAAAGAAATGTTATGCTCGTCAGCTGAGCATAGAGCATGTCACTGCTCCTCATTATGAACACTTTTTGTTCGATCTTGAGATCTATCAACAAATTTTGTAATGACTGTTAGGCTTACACCAATCACTCTTGTTCGACCTCCGAGGATTCATCTCCCACAAACCTAAGTTTCCATGGCTCTAATACCACTTGTTAAAGACAATGGTACCCCTCGTACATGAGTATCTCCACAATTGTATAATATTGTCCGCTTTGGGCATAGCCCGCACTGCTTTAATTTTGGTTTCACCAAAAAGACCTCATAACAATGGAGATAATTGTCATCTCTTATATACCCATGATCATTTGCTTTTGTGTAGCAAATGATCTATCTAAAAGTGCTTTATAGAAGTAGGCTCTCGTTGACAGTCGGGAGTAGATGAGTGCATGACTATTCGAGGCAAGATACAAGTGACACTTTGTTCGAGGGGAGGATTGTTGGGTTTGTAAGGAATGCAAACAAAGTCACACATTGGTTAGGGAAGCGAATGATCATGTGTATGTAAGAGAGGACAATTATCTCAATTGATATGAAGCTTTTTGGATGAAACCAAAAGTAAAGCTGTGCAGACTATACCCAAAGTGGATGTAAAGAAAAAAACACAAATATTCAACTCTGAGGTTGAGAGTTCGAATCCTCAGCCATGTATGATACTAAGAATAAAATTTTGAAAAGAAGAAATATTAAGAACGCGCACGTGCCAAGTCATATCACTTGTGTGAATTCCTCCCCTATCCGAAAATGATAATCGATAAGCGTGATATTTCTGAAGCTCGAAAAAAAAAATCGTAAGCCCGCTCGCTATCCTCCCCCTCCATTTCCCGCTCCAAGCTCTGCAGCTTCAAAACTCTTCACCATACGCAGGCTCCCTCTCAAGGCTATCATTTCGAGTTTACTCTGGACTTAACCAGCATATGCAATTAGAGTTATTGGGCGGTTCTTCCGTCCTCAGCTCGCCACATTCAGCTCCTTACAGGCAGAGAATGGCAGCCTTTGGCGCTCTTTCACTGTGTCCCTGCAGCCCACTGTCACGCCCATATCACACAGTTCGTACTATTTATTGTTGCAATGGATCCCCTACAGTTATAGGTACGCACTTTTTTCAGATTGAATTACAGATACCGTTATCAGTTGCTTAGCTCTTGTTCACGAGAAGGTTGGAGAAAATGAAAGCTGGAAGACATAATTATTACAGGTTGTAGAGTTAATCGCACGGTGTTCTGCAAATTATGGACATAAGCATGAAACGTTGTCCGTGTTATTTTTGCTACATTTAAATCTAGCTAACTGGTTGACTGGACTTGGAATGGAGTTTCCAGCGTATGGTTTGAATGTTTTCTCTTAGATAGAATGCTCCTACCAATCTCGGCACCATTTTCATTTATTGAAAACGAGGATTTTATAATTATTAGGTTTCGAGCAGGAACTGGGAAGTTTAAGTTATGTAATGAGCTATTACCAATGCACGTAGTCCCTTGCTGCAATTTGTCAACGGGTGACTTATTTTGTAAGGGATAAGGTCACTGTTATTGGGAAAACTAAGAACCGGATAGAACCTAAGCAGCACATGCATTCTTAATCTGAGAGTTGGCATCTCTCTCTCGCGCCTGCTTATAGTTGTGACTGTTTCCATAGACACCAAAGTTGAAACGTCTAGGAACTATTTTTACATTGTCAATTAGCTATCTAACATTTTTTTTTTGTTCCTTTCGGTTACTGTGAACTGATATTTTAATGTTGCACCTATTTAGGCAAAAATGTCTCTAAAGTACCACGCAAGAGACTGGGAAGATTGGAAGGTGCTAGAAAAAGCATGGAAGATTCTGTTCAACGCAAGATGGAACAGTTTTACGAAGGTTCAGATGGTCCACCCCTCCGTGTTCTTCCAATTGGTGGTCTTGGTGAAATTGGGATGAATTGTATGCTCGTTGGGAACTATGACCGATACATTCTGATTGATGCTGGTGTCATGTTTCCCGAGTAAGTTTCCCTTCAAGACTTTGCCATTTGCAAAGTCCTAACAACCATAAATAGTGTTATCAAGCACTGGATTAAATCTTCAGTAGACGTAATTTACCATCTTCAGATCTTCTTAATCCAGTAATTGTTGTCTTATTCCACTGGAAGTGTCTGGCATGGTTTCTTTCACTATGGTGTAGTGTCTCAGCTTGTGCCATTTATTTACAGCCATGATGAGCTCGGTGTCCAAAAAATTATACCTGATACCACATTTATCAAAAGATGGAGTCACAAAATTGAAGCTGTTGTTATTACACATGGTCATGAAGATCACATTGGTGCGTTGCCTTGGGTAAAGTTTCCTTCTAACTTCTTAGGGATACTATGTTCCCCCTTGATATATATTTTTTTTAATTTCTTAGGTGTTCACGATTGGTCTCCATAGAAAACATTACGATGGAAGTTTGGTTGGAGAGAAATTAGAGAATTTTCAATGAAAAAGTTAGAATTTTGGAGGAGGTAGTAGAAAAGGCCGTGTTGAATGCAGAATAATTTGCGTTCTTTAGATTTTTTTTAAAAAAATTTTAAATTTTATCCTCTCTGTAATAACTATGTTGTCCTAAGGGCAATAAAGGTTTCGTACATTTTTACTAAATGAGAAGTTTCTGTTTCAGTTTCCAAAAACAAAAAGAAATGTGGAAAACAGTTTGTTGATCTGCATGATCTGCTATATTTTCCACAGCCTAGGATCAAGGAAACTTGAGACTTAAATGTTGTAATAATTTTTTTTGATAAGAAACTGTGAATTCTTTTTGATAACTGAATTTACTGGACTGTTATTCACCACGAATGGACAAGTTTATGTGGATAACTATGGCCATTGACCATTCAATTATTTTGTGAAAGATCTTTTGTTTATTGTTTTCTGCTGTCGGTGATTGAATTGTTTCTAGGTGCTTGTTGCTCAAGTAGTAAGGTATTTACCTAGCAACTAGTTTATTACATTAGTGGTAAAGCAACGTGGCATAATGCCAAACATATTATTTTAGTGAGTAGTTCAAGTTGCAAGTTACCTGCTCCAAGATAAACAATCCAAACACATCGCACTCACAGTCAGAGCTGCTATGAGAATATCCAGTGACATTGTGTGTGGGGCTAAGTTCCGGTCCATTGAAGGCAAATTTACCTTGCAAAATTGGTTCCCCCAGTTTCCAGTGCATAGAGAGGTGAATTTGCAAGTTTTGGTCAACCTTCTTGCAGCATGCAGGCGTGGTTATGGTCTTACCCAGGGCTGTGAATTTAATATTTCTGCAACTCGTAGAACTTGAAAGGATGAATGATGATGTGATATGTCTCTCTGGGCACTGAAAAATAGGAAAAACAACTACTTGCATATACTCTTTCGATGCTACTTAATATAATAAGTACATGCAATATTTATAATTGACATCAAAAGGAAATAATATCCATGCATACTTGTATGACAACAAATTTGTTTTGTTTTAGATACTGAAATATTATTTCTGTATGGAGTACTAACTTTTTAAGTCTACATCTACATGTTTTTTTGTGAGATACTATTTTGATCTTAACTTTCTTTTTGCTATTATTTCTTTGTTTTCACATGCTTCAGTCCTGTCTGAACAGGTAATTCCAGCTTTAGATTCCCATACACCAATATATGCTTCATCCTTCACAGTGGAGGTATATCAGTACTGCAGTAGATTGCAAATGTTTATCATTTTAAGTATTTACGTTTATAAGATCAAAATCTCAAACTGAAACTCTTCTTATGTATCTAATGTATCTATTTCAGTTAATCAGCTTGTAGATGTTTGCTATTACTTGTTAATAAAATTAAATGATCTAATGCTGAATATTTGTTTTAAATTATTGCACTCGCTCAAGGAAATGGGATATTGTACAATAGTAATGATGTTATACTAAAATTTAAAGGTCAAGAATCCAATATGCTTTATCATTAGCTATATCTTCTTGCTTGACATTTGTGGTCTTAATAGGTAACACTGTTCTTTCTTAACAGCTTATAAAAAAGCGTCTGAAGGAAAATGGGATTTTTGTTCCATCTCGACTAAAGGTATTTAAGACGAAAAGGAGATTTACAGCTGGGCCATTTGAAATAGAGCCAATTAGGGTTACCCATTCCATTCCTGATTGTTGTGGATTAGTTCTTCGATGTGCTGATGGTACAATTCTTCATACTGGGGACTGGAAGGTAAGATTGTTTGATGCACTATATTGTCATTGTTTGTTTCACTTCCAACTACTACTGGAGGAGTTGGCATTTACAGATTGACGAATCACCATTGGATGGTAAAGTCTTTGACCGACAAACTTTGGAGCAACTATCAAAGGAAGGAGTGACCCTTGTAAGTATCTTCTCATCCCCATGTTCTAATATATCAATTGTGATAACATTGCTATATATATATATATTTTTTTTTCCCCTCAAAGCTTTTGATTCAGGCATATTTTTGTGACTTAAGCTAATTTCAAAGCCAATTACCATGTTATTTATGGCTAGGAGAAAGAGACCTATTCTGGTTGTAGTTAGTAGTAACTAACTTGTTTCACAGCATCCACTGAAAACAGCCAAACTATGAAATCTTGTAAATTTGTGTGAATTACTTTTCAGATGATGAGTGACTCAACAAATGTACTATCTCCTGGAAGGACGATTAGTGAGTCTGTGGTGGCAGATGCACTTTTAAGGCGTATCTCTGTGGCTAAAGGAAGGGTCATCACCACTCAGTTTGCTTCAAATATACACCGCCTAGGAAGTGTGAAAGCAGCAGCTGATTTAACTGGTCGAAAGTTGGTGAGTACTTTACAGTTAGATTCCTTCTTTCTCTTATGCTCATTTTTCCATACCTAAGTAAATTACTTCTCATGGAGAATTTATGTTTTCGTTTGCAAATTTTAATTTCATGATTATTAGGTATTTGTTGGCATGTCCTTAAGGACATATCTGGATGCAGCCTGGAAGGATGGAAAGGCACCAATTGACCCATCGACCTTGGTAATCATTTTTGAATATTATTTTGTCTCAATATATTTTCTAGTTTCAAATTCAACTCAACATTTGCTCTTTCCTTGGCAAGTTGTAGTTTCTTATTGATGTTTGACAATGGACATAAATGAGATTTTAGGAAAAATCCTTTGACCGAGCCCCCCCTATCAAGCTTGAAATTATTTGAAGTTGCTGATCAAATCTAACCAAAGTTAATCCTAGCACAAAGATATCATATCCAACCAAGTGATCATGGAATTGAAACTCTTAGGGTCACCCCCTATCTTGGATATCATACGTCATATATGTTTCTGAACTAAGCCACAACCTTGTAGGATAGATTATAATACCCGATTTCTAATATAGTCAAAATAAGAGCATTTGTGGACGATTGGTAAACTCTTGCTTACCCTCAAAAGAAAAAAAAAATATATTGCTGAGATACAGCTGATACAGATTAAGTTTCTTTCTTGAGTGCCATTTATGGTTAGGGTTTGAGTTCAGAGAGGCCATGTCAAGTTTTTGACAGGGAGAAGAGATAAATAGGCTAGGAAGATGTTTGTTCTGCAAATTCAAAAAGCCTTTGAAGCACTTTTTTTAATACCATTTATTCTCAACTTGTTATCTTAGCTAAATATATATTTTAGTCCCTAATGTTTAGATATTTTTTTCAATTTAATCCATATTGTTTAAAAAGTTTCAATTTAATCCCTCACTGTTGGTGAATGTTAAAATTGGTTGATGATAAACTAACATGACATAACACTTGATGAATTAGCAAAAATTTAGTGGAGAAAAAAGATCATCAAGACAAGAAAACTCAACATTAGGGACTAAAACATATATTTAGCCTATTATTTTCCATTGAGTGTGATATAAGACAATTGGTTGTAATATAGTTTTTGGCCATCTTATACTGTTCGTTCCATGTGGATTAGAGGAGGGGGTTCATTTTGGTTAGCTGGGTGCATGTGTCACCCTTGTCAGACAAGGGCAAGGGCAGTACAGGGTGTTGTTAAAGAAAGGAAATCAACTTTGTGGCATAAGATTATTATAGTCCTAGATGGTTGTGGGTGCTAGCCCCATGGTTGGGCAAAACTCTTAATCCTCCTACCGACACAATTCAAATGACAGGCATTTGTTTCACCCTCTTGTGTGGCCCTCATGACTGTAAGTTGAATCATGGTGCCACATGATCTAAAGATGGTGGGATTCGTACAGTTTGCTTAATACTTGGATAGAATCTGATTTGTAGTTCCTTTGTCTTTTTATAGTTAAAGATTCAGACATTGGAGCATTGCCTTGGGCTTGTTTATCTTAATGAAAGCTGGTTTCTTAGTCTTAGTTAAAAAAATTGGTTTCAACCATAGTCCCTCATTGCTATAAGATGGTCTTAAAGGAGCATTCCTGTGATGGTTCAATCTATGAAGTTCTGTGATTAAAGAATTACTGCTGAACCTAAACTAACACCTAATATTCATAATGGACATGCTTCTTAACGTTCAGAAATGGTGTTATTGGCTTATTGCTAATGCTTACTGTATGAAATCTTTTTCATGTACTTTACTAGACATGTTGCAATGCTTTTTTAAACATCTGAAGACAAAAATTACAAGGAGAACATGAAAATATGTATAGAAGTGTACTTGTTCATCTAATTGTAACAATTCTCATCCTACAACTGATAAGGTAAAAGTGGAGGATATTGATGCCTACGCTCCAAAAGATTTGTTGATTGTCACAACTGGCTCACAAGTAAGTTTGCCTACATGGCTGTAGGAATTGTACAGTTTAATGGATTAAATAGTTTAGTCACATTGATTAGCAATAATAATTGTGCATGCTGTTGTGTCAGGCAGAACCACGTGCTGCCCTAAATCTTGCATCTTACGGAAGTAGTCATTCTCTCAAACTGAGCAAGGAAGATGTAATTTTGTATTCGGCCAAGGTAGTAAAACAAAATATTTTATTTGCTTCATGCAAATTATCAAATAAGCTCTATGTGTTTCAAATATTTTCAGACCTTTCTGTGTCATAGATTATGTATTCAACCTATTTCTTATCTAAAAAAATGTATTCAACCTATCATATACAAATTGTCTCATTAGTTATGCATTTACAAGGATTTTAGGATTTGATGTTCCTCTTTAGCCTATTGATGTAATGCCTTTGCTTATTTTGTGATTACGTGGAATTGACACAGAACTTTAAGGAATTTTAATTTTCAAGTGTCATATGCACTTTATCGTTTCAGAATTTGAAATAACAATTGTATTTCACACCCTGATTTGAGAAGGGGAGAGCCAAAGCATACGAGTGCTTTTCCTTATGTTCCCTTTACTTTAATACTCTTCTTTCCAAAAGAAATTTTGCTAAATGTCTTAACCAAAAAAAAAAATAAATAAATAAAAAAATAAAAGAAAAAAAAATAAAGAAAGAAATTGTGCCTCATGTTGGCAAACTTAGTTTGTTTTCAATAGGAAGGAGGTTATTAGGGGATTAGGCAAGTCTTTGGATTAGTTTGTGGGAGAAAGATAGCTCTTTCGAGCAGTGATCGACCATTGTCCATCATCATACATTTCTTAATTTTCATTGTACGCTTCTACTTTCAGGTTCCTATCATTATTAAAATCAACGGTTTATTATGGTTTCATTTGTTAATCATGTATAAAGTACTAACAACGTTTTATTTTGAGTAATACCTGCTATAGTGGGGTATTGGAACATCATTTGAACTGTTGAACTTGACATTTCTAAGTTCTTAAATGACATTGACATTAGGTCTAAGTCTACTGGCTGCTTAACGTCTGCCAGCTGATCTGATCTGATCTGTAATAGCTCTTTTCCCTCTTCCCATGCCACAGGTTATTCCTGGTAATGAATCTAGAGTGATGAAAATGTTGAACCGTATATCAGAGATCGGATCAAACATAATAATGGGTAAGAATGAGGGGCTGCACACATCTGGTCATGGATATCGTGGAGAATTAGTAAGTTCTCAATATAATGGCATCTGAATATGTCAGTTACAAATCTTGGTTGGGACTGGACTTATGATCATCTCAGCTTTCTTGCTTTGAACTACAGATCCCCCTGCCCCCTACCCCCTGCAGAAAAATGTAAACTCAGACTTGTTGAATGCCTTAGTTTAGATGACTAACTTTTTTCTGCATTTCTATAATTCTTTTCGTTGCCTGATATATTTGGAAACTAATTCCTATAAAAGCAATCAGGTATATGCTTGCTTTAAGTTGATAACTGATTAGCCTCCGTGAAATGCATATGTCATGATGATTTCTCCCAAACTTCCCCTATTTTTGCCTCAAAATAGTTTTCTCCTTAGCACCCATTTGCCTTTTTGCCTCAAAATAGTTTTCTCCTTAGCACCCATTTGCCTTCATCCATGTCGCTGCCTTCTCTTGAATTTTAAAGTGCAATTCTTTGTGTTTGAAGGAGGAAGTACTTCAAATTGTTAAACCACAGCATTTTTTACCCATACATGGAGAGCTTTTATTCCTCAAGGAGCACGAATTGCTGGGCCGGTCAACAGGCATTCGACACACAACTGTGAGTACTTTCCTATCCAGAATGTAATAATTTTTGATAGGATATTGTTACGCAGAATCTTCCCGACTATAATCTTTACAATTTTTATAATTATCCGGTTACATACTTGTGTGGGTCAAAAGCTGTGAGTTGTGTGGATATGTTATGTATGACAGCGTGATATCATTTATAATTTTTTTTAGTTGATTTATCCAATGATTTTTTTTGTTAATAACGATAAGAGTATAAATGATTGCTTATGGAATGTCGGTGTCAAAGATGAAAGCAGTAATAGTTTGAAAAGTAGTAAGAGAGGCTGTCATGTAATATTCCATATTTCTATTTTAGTCAGTTCTTTCCTTCAATACATAGTCGTAGTCATTTCTCTTATGTGCTCTCAAAGTTTCTCAGGGGAGATTCATTCAAAGAAAATGCCAAGCAATTATTTTGTAAGCATAGATTTTTTTTTAGATAAGAAACTTGTATATTCCGAAAGGAAGACAAAAGGATTGTAAGCATAGATTAAAAAACAAAGAAGAGGCTAATATGTTGTGGCTTAATGCACTGGCTTCATTTGAGGACTTTGGTTAGAAAGAAACAAAGAGATTACCGAAGGAAGTGTTGAGTTGGGGAGAGATTCTAGATCAAGCTAAAATCTTATGCCTTTTGTTGGTGTGCAGTTTCCAGTTTCTTTTGTAATTATACCCCTTCGGAAGAACTCTAATTGGAGGGGTGTTTTGTAACTCCTATGGGGATGGTTAGAGTAGAGCTGTAACTTTAAAAGTGTTTCTTCGTCTTCTTCTTGTCTTTCCAAGTACTTCTCGTTTTAAAGGTTAACTATTATCCTCGTGAATATTCTCCCCACATTCTTTAGAGTCCCGTGATTATTCCAGCCTTCGGAACTTAGTTTGTGTATTAGTCTTAAATCATGTAGGAAGCACCGAAGCAGATAGTATTCTAACTATGATTCTGGAAGAACTCGTTACAGCTGTCTTGCTCTTAATATGAACCCTTCATTTATTTTTTTAAAAAATTTGCAGATTAGATGTCTGACAGAAATACAAGGCAATCTTTACTTGAGAATTCAGCTAAAATATTTGTGTTGAAACATGTAAACGGAAAAAAAAAAGAAAAAAAGAAGAAGAAAAATCTGCTTCAAACGATCTGTGTTCATATACCCATAATTGATTGTCTTTCCAATTCACTTTCACAAAGTATCTCTTTGTTCAACTCTTCATCCTGGACCTTTGCTGCCTTGTCTCAAAGAAATGTGATTCTGGACCTATAAGCTTAACTACTCACCTTTATAAAATGACCACCGATGTCCTTGCTGAAACACTATAAAACTGTTCCTGCAACACTATCACCGAAGCCTTGCTGAAAGAGAGACCCAAAAAAAGGGGCAGAAAAAGATCTTCCAGCCACAGTCAATGTTGGAAGTGGTAGATTGAAGTCTTCCTAATGCTAGTTATTCGTATTCCATAATCTTGAACTGAAAACTGAGGTGTAGTTCATAGTCACAAGGGGAAATAGGCAAGGAGATCTCTTCTCCTCATCCTTTTCACCCTATTGTTGCATTTTCTTAGTCGGCTCCTCTCCAAAGGACTTTTGATCTGAATCTGGTGGAAGGTTTGTCTAGTTGGGTAAACAATCTAGGATTCCCTGGGATTGGGAATATATTTATAGAAGCGTCCAATATGATACATTTAATCAATTTTTTGGCATATTTATTATCTCTCTTTCTGTGCATGGTATATTTCTTTGTAGAAAGTTGAAAACTTTTAACATCTTGATATGAAGGTTATAAAAAACGGGGAAATGCTTGGAGTATCTCACTTGAGAAACAGAAGAGTTTTATCCAATGGTTTCACCTCTCTCGGGAAGGAGAATTTACAGGTACATTAATTTTAATAGTTTGCTTTGACTATAAGGACACCGTTGATCTTTTTGATGTCATTAATGCTGCAGTTGAAGTATAGTGATGGTGACAAAGCATTTGGATCTTCATCTGAGCTATTCGTTGATGAGAGACTAAAGATTGCAACAGACGGCATTATAGTGGTCAGGTAGAACTTGCGAATTTTGACTTTGGTGAGGTGGTTACGTCCTTCCATCTATGTTGTAATGTTCTGGTTTCTGCTGTTTACAGTATGGAAATCTTGCGACCCCACAGTGTTGATGGTTTAATTGAAACTGGCATCAAAGGAAAACTGAGAATCACTACTCGATGTTTATGGCTTGACAAGGGGAAGCTTTTAGATGCACTTCATAAAGCCGCTCATGCAGCACTGTCAAGCTGTCCTGTAAATTGTCCTCTGGCCCACCTGGAAAGAACTGTGTCTGAGGTTCTGAGGAAGATGGTAAGAAAATACAGTGGTAAAAGGCCTGAAGTCATTGTCATGGCTCTGGAGAGCCCTGGAGGAGTTCTTTCCGAGGAGCTTGATACAAGGCTTTCGGGCAAGCCCATTGCTGGAATTGGGATGTCAGCATTGAGAAAAGCAGTTGATGGACAGCCAACTAAGAGCCACTTAAACAAGATAAGACCAAATGGAAATGACGATTTGCATTCTGTGGATAACTCGAGTCATGAGTCTCAAGGTTTTTTTCTATGTAATTTGACCTCTTTTCTTGCATGTCTGTGCATAGGTGGGACGTGGAACACATTGCTTTTAGAAACCAATTCTTGTTTTCTTTGTCAGGCATAAACCAGATACCACGTCAAGGGTGATGTAATGTAGGGATATCTTCTTTAGGTTAGCTAACGAAACTAAAGAAGTGCTGGATCAAATTTGATGGCATGATTATACGTTTTATGCATTATTAATAGGATTATTAGGGCCTATTATAAAAACTACAGGAAGCCAGGAAGTTATAAATTTGATACTAGCTCTTCTTGCGAGGTTTTCAGGTGTCTTTAAACCTATCTTCAGTCTATATTTCTTTGCAATGTATTGAGTTGAAAAACTTCTAGAGAGTTCTAGCTTTCAGGTATAATTCACTTTTTCCTTGACACGTTTCTCCACTGGGGAACTCTGATGTGTAAACATTATTACCAAAAGTAATCTTTAGTATAGTTTGATGTCAAATTTAGAAATTATGAGACGTGTACATGGTACGTTGATCTATTTGATTTAGTAAATGATCAAATTGCATGGAAAGGTGGATGATTGTAACTTTTAGTTGTTTGTTCTTAGATTGTAACTTATATTATATGGAATGTATTACACCAAAAGCCTATAATTTCGTTGATGCATGACTTGCTTTAAATGAGTGTTCTTTTTTCCTACATTTTTTGTTTGTACAGGTAACTATATTGAACCTGTAAGACTACTTCCTGAAGAAGACTACAGTTCCTCAAACTCCAACTTGGCTGAGATACAATCCTTTGATAACGAGGGTTTGGAGGATTTCTGGAGACCATTTATCATGCCATCATCTGTTAGTGAATTGGTAAAGGAGAACGAAGGTTCTGTTCAACAATCTAATAATACGTTGGAGATTACAAACGAAGGCGAAGGACAGGATGACAAGTCATTGAAAATGTCAAATTCTGACATGAAGCCTTTGAAGCCCATGAAACGCAATAAATGGAAACCTGAGGAGATCAAGAAACTTATTAAGTTGCGCGGGGAATTAAATGTCCGGTTTCAAGTTGCCAGGGGGCGAATGGCCCTTTGGGAAGAGATATCCACCAGTATGTCGACTGATGGAATAAATAGGAGTCCAGGACAGTGCAAGTCTCTGTGGGCATCTCTGATTCAGAAATTTGAGGTTTGTTCCCCGTTTCTACCTTCTGTCTTCAATTATGCTCTGCCCCTGAGTTACCATGGCAAATAAAACTTTTCTCCTCCGTTATTTTCCCCGTTAATTGATGTTGAGAAGGAAAATTTGAGTCTCATTCTGTTGAATTCTCTAACATACTTCAATGGAGGATTTAGTTCCCTATTCCTCTGAAATAATTAAAGGCTTATACTGAGTATTAAAACTTAAGCAGAAAAACTATTTCTTGAGGTGATTCATGTCTCTCCCAGCTTATTTTTCATAATTAACTGTCACAGGTTGTGGTGTCGCCATACATTTGAAAGAGAATTCGTAGAGTTCCTTTCTTACAAATGTCTCCTTGCCTCAGCCGAATGCATGCACTAATAAATTCTTCATTTGTTTGAGAAAATGTATTACTAAATCTGGTAATTTCTACTCTTTGTTCAGCAGGAAAGCAAGGGTGAAAAGAAAAGCAGGAAAAGTTGGCCATACTTCGAGGAAATGAGTGGTATATTGTCTGATTCAGAGGCACTGGCATCAAAATGAGGGGATACTGTAAGAACAGAAAACTGAAAGTTTCGAAGAAATGTAGCAACATTTGTTCCATAGAGCATGGATAATGGTCATGATTATTAAGAAACAGCTATTTTTACACGATTCGATGTCTCGGTATCTCCTTGATAATTGGCCACAGCAATGAGAAAGCAGATATATGAAACTTATGACCGATGAAGCCCGCTTCTATCTTTCGAGGCATGCTACTGCTACCATTTCTGGAGCTTGGGAATGGTCCCTTCTTTTCCTACAGAACATTTCAAAAAAGTTAAGGAAAATATATTGGGATGAGGCAAACAATGATCAAAAGAAATGGAGATTCCAGAACATATGATTTTGAAGCTTGAGAGCCGTTTGGTTTTTTCCATGCATTAATACATACACAAATTTAGGCACATTAGTGAGTTTATTATTATTATTATTTTATTTCTGTTTTGCAGATGACAATTTAATCCTTGAAATCAATTTTACCTGATCTTTAACTTAGTTTGACGTTCAGGATTGAGAAGAAGATATAATGTTGGAAGTTAGGAAATGATGTGGTAGCTTGATAGGTTCAATCAAACGTGAGAAGAATCACTTAAAAATTTAGCTCAGAGCCTAAATTGATATGTTTAGAACTACGGAGATCAAACAGTTTGTGGAGAGTATATTTTTCTATAAAATCAGCAATTGTTAACGAAAACCATGAACAAATTCTATATTCTTTTTAGTCAATGTGGATGTTTATAAGGGAAAATGTAAAATTTTCAACAATATGAAAATAAACATTTATATAAATAATTTGTAATTCACCCAAGTGTTTTCTTTGGAATGTTTGTTGATGTCGATATTTTATTGACTTTGTATCAACATATAAAATTGAAGTCTCGCAAGCTAGAACCACTCTACCAATCAAAGATCTGTCATTTGACGATACCAGCGGCCCACTTTAGGAAAATGTAATTGGGCTATTTTCCAACGCAAGCAAAGCCCATTACTTTACATGGGCCCCAGCATTGTTGCGGCCCGGACAATGTCGTTTACCAAACGTGTAACTATCGTTTCTATTGCATCAGCGAAGGCGAAGGCGACCATGTGGTTTACGTGTATTTCCACTGTTCGAAAGGAACAGAAGTGTGATCGCCTATTTCAGTGAGGTCATGCATGACCTTCAAAGATTTTATTTACTTTACTCATTAATTATCCAATTTCGTATTTGAAACGAGAAAGTTAATAAAATTTTAAACCTCAAAATAAGATATTTATTATTAAAATCTCTTAATTATCTTGTTTATAAATTTGAATCAATTGATTTAGTACCTAATATATGATTTGTGAAACTTTTGTATTTACGCGGGGGAGTGGAAGCATTTCAGCATATCCTCAAGCATGGAATAAAAGAGAACTTCATCATCAAAATTGCTTTGGAAACCTATTATACAAAAACTTTGACCGGATTGGATACATTAGATAATGATCCTTTTTTTCAAGAGTAAATTGACCGCTGAAAAATAGAATATAAAATTATCGTCTGGACCTATGGTTTCAAATTAAACCACCAACGGAAGAGTAATACAATTACCTACAGGAAGACAAAAGCCCCGGTGGCAACTATTTTATTTTTAAAAACTATGATTATTTGTTCACAATTTTTCGAATGCGTTTTTCACTTTTTTTTTCTCAAAATTATGTAGGAATTCTTAGCCAAATTTCAAAAACAAAAATAAAACTTAAAATTTACATTTAAAAATTTTTTGACTTAAACTTTGAAAAAAATTGAAAGGGGATGGCAAAACAAGATACATAAATAAAAATAGTATTTATAAATTTAATTTAAAAGGCATAAAATGAAAACAAAATAGTAAGCCAAAACAATTAAAAAAACGTCACTCAGCGATAAGGGTAGAATCAGAATCGTGTCGGCGAAAAATAATTTATTGTATTATTAAATAAAGAAAATAACATCCGGAAGGAATCAACTCGACAAGTCGGTCGCATAAGCCTGAAGAACGCGGTATCCCATCCGCCGTCGTTTTATTTTAACCAAACCAATAATGTATTATTGTATTGTATTGGCACGAAAAGTAGCGTTTAGTACGTGGCAGTTGACCGTTATTAAATAAAATAAAATAAAATAAAATAAAAATAAGAATTCACGGAAACTAAAAGAAAGAAAAAGATATTTGTAGAATAATCCTTCCGTGGTCCTTTGGGACCAATTTGACCTCATCCCCAAACACGGAATCGGCATTCCTTTTGGAAAGATCCTTCCGCTTCCTGCGAGGTTGCTTCGGAAGATTCACGCAGACGCCGCCCCAACCCCGAAGAGTATATAAACTAAAATCAGTTCCCCATATCGACCAAAATAACCAAAACTCAGAGTAATTTCACAAGCTTCTTTTTCTTCTTCCCAAATCCAATCTCGAATTGAACTGAATTGAATGGAGATCAACAAGTTCGAGCGTGTATTGAGTTACTTCGACGAAGATGGAGACGGCAAGATCTCGCCGTCGGAGCTGAGGAATCGGCTCGGGCTGATGGGCGGAGAGCTGTTGCCGGCGGAGGCAGAGCTGGCGGTGGAATCGCTGGACTCCGACGGAGACGGATTGCTGTGCGTCGGCGATCTCGCACGGCTACTGGACGTCGGAGAGGACGAGAAATTAAAGGATCTGAAAGAGGCTTTCGCGATGTACGATGCGGAAGGCTGCGGATTCATAACTCCCAAGGGATTGAAGAGAATGCTCAGAAAATTGGGGGAACGGAAATCCACGAAGGAGTGCAAAGCCATGATTTGTCGCTTCGATTTGAACGGCGACGGTCTGATTAGCTTCGAGGAGTTTCAGATCATGATGGCCTGAAACTCAACTCATCCATGGCGTACATATAACTTCATTTTTTGGGTTTTCTGATTGATTTCTTTGTTTGGATCTTAATTCTTCGATTCATTTGATTCATTTAATGGGGACATTTAATTACACATTTTTATTTATTGTACAAAATACAGTATACAGAGAGTTCTGAGATATTTGGGTTTAGAATATTTTATTTTATGTCATGATCTATTCTTTCTTTCTTTCTTTTTTTTTTTTGAGACAGATATTATGATCTATTCTTTGTATGTGTTTAAATAATAATAAAATCCACGTGTGTAAAAAATTCAAAGCATGAAGAGTTGACTATTCTAAAGAAACTATTTATGTTATGTTAATAATCCACGTATTTAGAAAATCATAACACGAAGAATTGACTCTTCCAGAGAGAGATTCTTGCTTCCGAAGAAAGCGTTGTCTCTTTCTGGGAAGTGGCCTTTGTCCTTATTTCCAAAAGGAAGGACCCTTTTGTCATTTTCTCGCAGGATAATATATATTTGCGTGCATTTTCTGCTTCACCCCCAAGTTCCAAACCTCGATTTTCTCTCGAATTGGGAAATTTCTCCTTTGCTTTGACAAAGAAAGATTCTCACCATCGTTGATGCAACTTTTGGAAAACTAGTTGGATCGAAAATTGGTGAATTGGATCGACCATCGAGTGATCAAGCAAAAGTTGGATCTAAGAGAAGCCGAGACTTGATAGGTTGGATCTAACTAGGAGAAACTGAGACTTGATAGGTTGTGAACAGAGAAAAGACGGAGAACTTAGCTTTGGAAGTGAGGCAAAAGCAACATGCAAAAAGAGATGGTGCTGCGCGATTGGCCACATTATGTGCTGGCCATGTGCTTAAAATAACTTTGCATGACATATATATCACAACTTTCATCATACGCATTACCTCCATACCCGTATGAGGGCGTTATTACTTGAGGTCCCAAACCACCCAAACTATGTCTTGACTATTCGAACATTATTCTTAAAAACGAAAAATGTCTACTCCTCCAGAGAATTTTCTAATTATTATCTAATCGAAATGATAATTATGAATAATGATGATATTAGAAAGGAATCTACAGAAGTGGAGGAAAAATTTAGAGAAGTTGCATGATTGACTTGGCTCCCTTTTAAGAGTTGGTACCACATTATATTATTATTAGCTCGTGCTAATAAAATATTGTACAAATATATAATTTGGCACAAAAAGCATAGGCTAATTTTAGCACCATTACCAAATGTTATGGAAGTTTCCATTTTACTAAAATTATAAAAATTACTCGATCAAGTCCTTGTTAAATGACAGAGTTAGATTGAATAACAGAATGAAAATTAAGAACTTAAGGATCATTATTTGCCATAAATTAACATTTCTTCGAGTGTTTAACAATTAGTTTAGCTTATCCAATTAAAAAACCCAACTGGCCCCAAAAACAGAAATTAAAAAAATTAATTCAATTAGCATTTAATTCAAATATAAGTACAATACAAGAGTAAAGAGGGGAAGCAAAAAAAAAAAATCAGAATCCCAGGCATCACTTCAAGATGGATTTATATATTTTTCTTGCAATTTGTCGCCAAACACTCTTATGATGGAAACTGAGAGGCAGATGTAAAAAGAATTACAGATCAGTAAGGAACATATAACAATATCACCACATTTCAACCCATCAATCAATATACTATTCCTGGAAGCCAGCCACAAGTGAATAATACGTGGAGGCAGAACACCCGAGTCACCATCCTCGAGCTATGGAAACATGTATCGCACGCGCAAAATCTGAAAAATACCAATACTCTCATTCCTCAGCTAAGTAGCCAATTCTATCATCCCCCTTCACTTAGCATCTTGAAATGTTGATGGTCAAAAGACTTGAGAAGCGCCAAATAATTAGAATCCTCATTGGCCTAAAAATTTGAGAATAGTAACAGTTAAAAGGTTACAATAGTTGAATGTTCGCTACGAAATCATATAGAAAGAAATATATTACCTGCGTTGGTATTTGAAACTGTAGTATTTCTTGGCTTCTTTGCGTCTCTTTTTGCCACCATGGCTGTAATACTCGGATCATTAGGCAAGTCATTTGACAACAGATACATGAGCCTCTATATATATATATATATATTTTTTTTTTTCATCTTTACCTTTATATTTCCTTTTCTTGTTGGCCCTTCTCCTCTTCCTATCAGATTGTGTAAGTTCTGCATCTTCTTTGATTTCACCTTTGCCCGCAAAAACTTCCTCTGGAGCAAGCATTGCCGCATCCGAGACAGCAACAGGAGCAATCTAACAACAATAGAACATAAATCAAATGTTAGCTCGTGCAGTCGACTTTGTATAGACGTGTGATAATAAGAGCTAGAAGAGCTGTTACCTCTTCCATTGCTAAAGCAGGGACATTCACTGCTATAGACATATCCTCTATGACCTTTATGAATAAAGAATTAACATTTAGATGAGTAAATGACCAGAAATATGGTTGATATATTACATTATATTCCAAGAATTTATCAGAAGTAACATACAGGTTTCGGAGCGAATGTGAAATGGGAAAGAGCATCCAACTTCAAGCAAAGTTCCTTGAAAAGTATGCTCGCCTGATTTGAGGTAAACACAAGATTAGGCAAGTGTCAAAAGATACTCAAATTATAAAATATATTAATAAAGTACGAAATAGTTTATAATATACCTCTTTCTTCGTTTCATCCGAGAATGATGATGGGGCAGTAACCAAATTTGTCTTTTCAACATACTCTTCCTGCAAAAGAATTGGAAGAATGGCCCTTATAATCTTTTAAATTAGAATAAATCAAATGAGATATTAACAAGACATTAAATTCCATAATAGAGAAATATCAAGTTGGAAGATATGGCAGTAAAAGTAAAACAAACCTCGTATAATTCACTGAGACCTTTCTTGCTTTTATTCTCATCCTGTTCATAGAAAAAAGGTTGATAAACCTTGATCAAGAGAAGTACCACTTGAATATAAATTACATACATACATAAATACATCGCCAACACAAAAGAAATTCTAAAGAGAAAAGGATACTGACCAAGTCTTTAATTTCTCTGGGTGCTTTTGTAGGTCGCTTAGGAGCTTTCTGAACGTCATCAAAACGCCCCTGAAAACAATTAATAAGTTAATGTTGGTCAAACAGTCTCTCGTAAAGAAAATCAAGTCTATAGATGATGGTAGCAAATCATCTAAAAATTAGCAGAGGAATATGACAATTGGAAAACAAAAGTTTCCACGTCTTGCTCTCTTGACCCCATATGCAATCATTCTTCCTTGTATCAATACAAGTCGTTTCTTCTTTGAAATGAATTCTGGCTTCTCCACAGAATAGGATATTCCCACTTAGTCGGACACCCTTTCTTTATACAAAAGATAAAGTTTGATTAAGTGACAAATGCATTTTTCTTTGATTATTTTTAATTTATGAAAGCATATTGACAGGACTAAATTGTAAGAGGATGTGAATGATCATCTTGGCAGCACAGCACTACATTTTACGTGTTAAAGAATAACAGTGATTACACTCTGAACTTGAATGATACTAGTCTAACCAGACTAATTTGCTTTTAAATAAAGAGAAAGAATCCCCAAATGCTTCATTTGCCAAAAATTTATAGAACAATATTTATTATACACCTGACAAGTATGGTAAAATATATTCTCCAAATTTATAGAAAGTTAAGCTATTTAATCAAGTGGGTAAATGCTATTCTGCTAGTTCGTTAAATTTGGAACAGACACCCACTTGCTCCAAGCATACGTTAACTATCAAATTAGTGTAAAAATGAATTATTACTGTATTTTTTCCTTGATATTGTAACATGAGACAGTAAAATGAATGATGAAGGGAAAAAAACATTTAGCAAAAACAAGGAAAAGAATTTGTTGAATAGTTCAGACAATTTAACACATCAATAAAATATTGAACAAGTAATAGAACAGTCAAAATAAATAAAAGCTAGTGCAATATGGTTCTAACATCAAAATCATACTCGTTTAGATAGAGAAGCTATTTATATTAGGTAAAATATTTTAAAATTTACCTCAAGGATCCTTTTCTGAATCATTTCTTCCAATGTTGCAGTAACTTCCTCTGTGATTACTGGTGCTGGTCTCACATTGTGCTCAAAATCTAGATCAACTTCCAGAGCACTATTCTTTGGTCTTCTGGCAGCAGTTACCTATTATTGAAGTCATAGTTTCAAACACTTGAAAATAATCATACCTTAATATAAACTATAAAGTAAGAAAAATGAAATGATTAAATCACCTCTCCCTGCATGGTCCACGTTTTCGGCTCCAAGTTTGCTTTCTCCATCATCTCTATTTGAGATTGAAGCTTCTTAAGTTGTTTTTGATGAGTTGAAAGTTTTTCTGACTTCTATACATGCAACTCAAAATCAGAAACTTCAACATGAGTATTCCCAGGGAAAAAAATTGTAAAAAACAAAAAGAGGACCTATCAGCTTAGAATTAGAAGCTGAAGCAGGCAGTTGTGAAAGGAAGTTATGTACCTGTTCATCACGTGCTTCATCATCACCCTCTTCATCTCCTGAATCTGAGAATTCTGACTCTGACCCATCCGTCAATTTGGATTTTCTTCTTCCAGAATTCTTCTGTTTAGCACCAAAGAAGTCTTTGTATCTGCAAAAATAGTCGATTCACATATATTGTAAGTTAATATTTAAAGTAAAAAATAGATCAATGAAACTATTAAAAAAATCAAATGACTAATAATCATGAAAAAAATTGAGAATCGTGGCTTCCAGTTTATGATGAATTTCTCATTAATAAATTTAAAAGAAAACAGTTATTACAATAGTAGAAATGGTGGCCTGTCTAGAACAAAAGGCAAACTGAAGAAAAGAATTTGTAGTTGGGAAAGAGGGGGGATCTATCCTTCCAGACAGCCTCAGAAACCGTATTGTTAAGATGCCCTACAACCAATTTCTAATTACTTTTGCTTTAGGTACAGATGCACAAACTTCTACTAATATTAGTGTCATCTATTGCATGTAATCCCAACTTAGGACAGGTATCAGAGTTACATTAAAGAGTAAAAACTACTTCGCTAGCCTAGTAGCATGACTGAAAGTGAAAAATACAATTAAGTACTTCTATCACTTTAAGGAGTTGGTCATTTACAAGCATATGGAAGAAAACATGATCCCACATACCTCGCTTTTCCCAGTTTGCTAGCATCTTCATCCTCCTCATCATGGAGGTCAAACTCCCCAAGCTACAAAGGAAGAAAGTAGACAACTTTAAATTACAAAAATAACAAGCATCTTAAACTAACAACTTCCGCAACAAGTAATATCACGAGCAGTAAACTCATTCATAGCAAAACAACAGGATCAGTTTGAATAAGCAATGTGCCCTCACCTCATCATCTTCCTCATCTTCATCGTCATCAGATTCTTCTTCTCTCTCCCTCCTTTGTTTCTTTTCCTTCTTGCTACTTTTATTCTCCTCTAAACCATATTCTCTTACTTCATCCTCCTCCATGAACTTCTCTAGCTCTTTTATCTTAAGAAATCCATCCTCAATCCCATCATTATCTCCTTCTCCCTCATCTTCATCATCACTTTCTTCCTTCTCGGCGTCTCCATCTTCTTCTTCTTCGTCTTCTTCATAGTTCTCTTCCCCCTCCTCATCATCCTTGTCCTCGTCTTCTTCTTCTTCTTCTTCATCAAACTCCTTTATATCCTCTTCAAAATCATCACTTTCTTCCCCCAACCCGTTGACCATCTCTTGAACAACATTCTTCTTATTCACTAAAGCCACCTTCAAGTTTGAAATTTCTTTTGGATTCTTCTCAAACCATTTCAAATCCCGGTGAACCCTTGCCAAAAGAGGTTGTGATTGTAGGTCAATTTGTTGCCATATCTGCTCAGCATCAAATCCATCAACAAGGAGATGATCAAATGGAGATTTAGGGCTGAATGATTTAAGTGTAGAAAACAAATTCTGTGAGGCAAGGCGAGCAACTTTAGACAGAGAAGGGTTCGGAGCAAGCCAGAGAGGCGGGTCGGTACATTTGAGAAAATGAAGTGGTTCAAGACCAGCTTCAGTGGTAGGAAGAAGCACCACTTTCTCCGCCTCCATTGAGCTCTGTTACAAGGTAAAAGGTAGGTCTTTCATTCAGCAATATCACATAATAAGAATTAAGTCAATTAACTTCAAAAAATAAATTTCAAATTTGTACTTGTTGAAACTAGAGATGTAAACAATTAGAACTGATCAAATGAACGAGAGCCATTACCTAAGAGTGAACACGGAATTCAATGGCCAATCCAACTCAAAATTTTAGGGTTGGATTGTTGGGTGGTATTATTTTTATTTTTTATTTTTAGAAACCCATAGGCCAAGTTCCTGAACATATAAATCAATTCTCATTGTTGCTTCATGGATTTAGGGTATAGGACGAACAATTTTATATTTAAAACAACTTCTAAATTAATAAGCAATGGGTAGAGCTTAACAACTTTTATTTGTTTCATAAGTTGCAAAATCTGCACAGCCTATATAAAATCCAAGCTTATACCATATTTACTCCACAGCATCGTATTAAACTCACCCCATTTATCAGAAGACTTACACGGGTCTGTTCTTCCACCCAACACCAAACCAAATTAAACAAACTCTTTTATTTATATATGTGTGGCGGATTTTGTGTAGGGACTATGTGGTTCAGTGTGCAATTTCGTCGGGCATTGCTTGTGTAATATTTAACAAGACTAAAAAATGTACAGCTACTGATTTAACAACACTAACAAAGCAGTAGTTGCAGAACATATAGAGCAAAACTAAACAATGATCGATTAAGAACATTTGCATTTTGCAAGTAGTTCCACAAAATAGGTAACAAAACTAAAAAGACAGATGAAATCACTTCGTGAACATTCAATTCTGACCCATGAGTACCATGGCCACAATAAATAGAGTTAATTTCCTTTCCTGCAATGGTTTCATAGACTACCACATTCAAAAACGGGCAAATACTTCTACAGAAATTATTTCCCAAGAACTACCTCTCTACGGCGGGCCGGCGGCGACGGAAGACAGAAGGGGACGCACGGCGGAAGATAGCAGCGCAGCGACGGACGGTGGAAAACAGTAGCGAAGGACGGCGAACAGCAGCACGTACGGGCAACGGAAAACGGACGGACGGGCGCGCGACTTACTTCTACCGGCGACAATGGGCGAGAGGATGAGAAGCGGCTGGCTGAGGGAGATGAAGATGCATCGAGAGGGAGAGAACTTTGACGCAAAAACCCCAAAACAAAACCCTTTTCTAAAACATAGAAAATCTTTTTTTCTTAATGTTTCGGGTCGGGTCGGCTCTTTTAAAACAGCCGAATCAAACCGGTTAGTGGGCTTTTTAACACCCCTGGTTCCAGGCCCAAGTAGGAGTACATTCCTGATTTTAAGGATATTTATGTAACTTCTACTGCATCGAATAGATCCGTCGTAGATTTATTGGCGGAGTGAAGAGCGCCGGGGAGGAGAGAACTCCCTCATAACCGGATTCACAGCAGATACCAATAATTCGGTTGAGCAGAAGTAACGAGAGGAACCACCGGTTAGAATCTTTTCTTCAGGTCTACGTTTTCCTTTGTAATTTCTCCCCTAATTATGTTCAACGTTGCTCTAAATTTCTCATAAACGATTTCTGAAGAATCAATGCTTGGAATTCTTCTGTGGCATACTAGTTACGAAATTTATGCTTGCTCATTATGCATGATTGAACTCGCTCGTAAATCTAGGGCTTGAAATTCTCGTTTGGGAAGTGGGGGACGAAACTCTTTAGTGATTATCCGAGGATTTTCGTGGTTTTGGCTCAGTTGAATTATTTGTTACTATAAATAGTGAGGCGAGTTTGAAGTACTTTTGTGAAAGAGTGCGTTTTCCAGAGTTGTCTCGACGAGTTTGGTTTCTTGGTGATGAATTTGGGTTCGAGAGACTTCGTTGGAGGCTCATTATTTTGAATGGAGTAATTTGATTCCTCCCCAAACGGATTTTGGTTGTATGAGTTAGCGATGGCGATGAATAACAACAGCAGTGCTAATAGTAACAGTGTGGTGAGGAATGTGGGGGCAACTATGCCGGTGAATAACAGCCCTAGTATTAACAATTTGGGGAGAAATGTTGGCGCAGCCTCACATTTTGGGAATTCAGGCGTGGTTCCACAAACAAGGCCCATGAACCATCACGCTCATCTAATCTCTCAGTCGCAACCTCAAATACAAAGCGGGTCGCATTTTCAAGGTCATTTTCAGTTGTCCGAACCACAGGTGCATACGATGTCTCAGATACAATACTCACAGGTTCATGCACAGGCAAGAGCACAGTCTGTTCATGCACAGTTTCAAACTAATACTCAACCTGTCCAACTACATAGTGCTAATGCTAGTAATGTTAATATGCCACCCTCTGTTTCAACGACTGGAACTGGGAGTTCTAAGAGGCCTACCCAGAAGCCACCTTCTAGGCCTCCAGGATCTTCTAACACTGGCGCTGGTTCACTGTTTAAAACCATGGAGCTAACTCCAGCTGCTAGAAGAAAGAAGGCTAAGCTTCCTGAGAAACAAATACCTGATAACGTTGCTGCTCTTCTGCCAGAATCTGCTATCTATACCCAATTGCTCGAAGTTGAGGGTCGGATAGATGCTGCTCTAGCGAGAAAGAAAAATGATATTCGAGAGTCTTTAAAGAACCCTTCACGCATTCAGAAAACCCTAAGGATCTATGTCTTCAATACGTTTGAAAATCAGAATCAAAATAGTTCTGATCAGAAGAATGTACAATCCTCTTCTTGGTCGCTTAAGATAATAGGGAGGATATTGGAAGATGGAAAAGATCCTGTTATCGCCAAAGCCATGCAGAAATATAATTCTACATATCCAAAATTTTCATCTTTCTTCAAGAAAATTACTATATACTTGGATCAGAGCCTTTATCCAGATAACCACATAATTTTATGGGAGAGTTCCCGTTCTCCTGTTTTGCAAGAGGGCTTTGAAGTGAAGAGAAAAGGAGATAAAGAATTTACTGCGGTGATAAGATTGGACGTGAATTACACGCCTGAAAAATTTCGTCTTTCACCAGCTCTGTCAGACGTGCTTGGAATTGAGACAGACACCCGCTCAAGAATTATGGCTGCACTATGGCATTACGTGAAAGCTAACAAGTTACAGAATTCAAATGATCCTTCTTTCTTCACATGTGATCCAGGTCTTCGAAAAGTGTTTGGTGAAGAGAAGGTGAAGTTTTCCACAGTATCTCAGAAGATATCACAACATTTGATTCCTCCCCAACCTATAAACTTACAGCATAGAGTTAGGATTTCAGGAAACTGTCCAACTGGAACTACATGTTATGATGTCGTGGTGGATGTGCCTTTTCCAATAGAAAAACAAATGTCAGCATTCTTGGCGAATCTGGAGAAGCATAAAGATATAGATTCCTGTGATGAATTGATTACTGCTGCAGTAAAGAAGATTCATGAGCACTATCGAAGGCGAGCTTTCTTTCTTGGCTTTAGTCAGTCTCCAGCCGAGTTTATCAATACTTTGATAACTTCTCAAAGCAAGGATTTAAAAATCGCTGCTGGAGATGCTAGCCGTCTGGCAGAGAAAGAACGTCACTCTAATTTCTACAGTCAATCATGGTGAGCTACAGTACAGTTGTTTATTGTATCTGTCTTCTTTTTTTTTTTCTAACTCAAATATCGTACATAGATGTCATCCATTGAAATTGTGTGATGAATGTTTTACGAATTCAGTTACTTTCTTTTAAGCATGTTTTACACAGTTTAGGTAGCTTTCTAATTATTGGCAGTGGCAAGAATGGACCACTTGATGGATGCTATTTGTGTCATGTGCTCTATTCTATATTCTTTTTAATACTGGCAAGAGTGACCCACTTGATTTGATGCCATTTAGGTCGTGCTCTTTGTTTTGTGGGGGAAGTAAGAACCATTGTTTTATGACATGATGGGGTGATACGCACAGATATCTAACCCAACCAAAAGTTTTTTAATTGATTGTTTTATAATTTTATACGTAATTGTGTTTTATTAGGTTGGAGGATGCTGTCATACGGTACCTCAACCGCAAACCTGCTGGAAGTGATGTTCCTGGAAGCACTTAAGGGATCCCGCTCAACATTGGCTCCCATTTTGATCAACATCAATCTCTAATTTGGTGACATCGTTTCTGATATTTATCTCTTTTATCACTTCTTTCATCTTAGGGGACTGAGTATCTGAAAAGATATGGGAATTCTGTATTTTAACCAATGGCTAGTTCATGACCGGGTGACTATCTTGCTGGGAAAAGTCATCTTAATTTGAGTAGAATTAAATATTTCCATGTTGTACCATTTTTCAGCTAGATGTTAGAATTATAGATGGTTTTGCTTTTGTCTGTTCGCCAAAAGTTTCAGATCAAACAAATTACATTCCAAGCTTTGCTTGGTTCTAAATTTGCTTTATACAGAAAACAACTCTGGCAGCTATCAATTTTTTTTCTCTTCTTTTTTTTTTCCGTGGCCTCTGTCAGAAGTTATCAACTGATATTTTTAGAATATGGGTCATGAGTCTCGTGACTATTCTAGAGATTTTCCTTTAGCTGGCTGTAGATAGTGGAGTAATTACTAAAATCTGATATG